AACATGTATGTAATTGAAGACCCAAGAAGAAAAGAAAAATAGAATAAGGCAGAAGACATATTTGAAATGAGAATGGCTAGAGATTTTCCAAAACAACTCACAAATCAAAACAGTTCAGAGAATCCTAAGTAAAATAAAAAATAAACGCCATACACTTAGTAACAGCATTGTCAAATGGCTGAAAACAAAGACAAAGAGAAAATCTTAAAGGCAGTCAGAGAAAAACATTACTAACAGAGAAACAAATATTGGAATAACAGCAGATTTTTTTTTATCAGAAATCATACAAGACAAAAGAAAATAGAACATGTTGAAAGTATTAGGGGAAAAAAGCTTTTAAGTAGAATTCTGTAACAGTGAAGATATTCTTCAAAAGTGAAGGCAAAATGAGATATGTTTCAGACAAAGGCTGAAAGTTTTATTACTAGCAGACCTGCACCATGAGATTTCTTAAAGTTCTTCAGACAGAAGAAATATGATGGCAAGCAGAAAGATGAATCTACACAAAGAAATGTACATTGCAGAAATTATTTTTTAAAATAATGTAAATGAAACATAATTTTAAAGATTTTTAAATATCTTTATGAGATAACTGACTGCTTAATGAGAGTATAAAAGAACACATATTCCATCTAAGAGATCAACAAAACCAAATATTACTATATAAAAAAGTTCAGTAAGAACATGAGCTATTTTATATGAGCTCTTTTAGAATATAAAAGGAAACACTTTCCAATTCATTTTATCAAGCCATTACATAATATCAAAACAAGACAAAGCATTACAAGAAAAGAAAAATTAGGCCAGGGCCAGTGGCTCATGCCTGTAATCCCAGCACTTTGGGAGACCAAGGCAGGCGGATCACGAGGTCAGGAGATTGAAATCATCCTGGCTAACATGGTGACACCCCATCTCTAATAAAAAATACAAAAAATTAGCCAGCTGTGGTGGTGGGGTGCCTGTAATCCCAGCTACTCGGAAGGCTGAGGCAGGAGAATGGCATGCACCCAGGAGGCAGAGCTTGCAGTGAGCCAAGATCACCCCACTGCACTCCAGCCTGGGTGACAGAGTGAGATTCTATCTCAAAAAAAAAAAAAAAAAGAAAAAAAGAAAAATTAGAGAACTAGAAACTTCATAGACATCAAATTTCTCAACAAAATATTGGTAAATAAACTTGAGCAACAGATTTAAAAGACGATATGGCATAACCAAATGGGTCCCATCCTTTAAATGGAATGTTGGTTCTACACTGAACAGTCAATTTATGTAATCCTTCCTATCAATCACTTTAAAAAAAATCAATATTGTCTTCTCAACAGAAGAAAAAAACAGTGACAAAATTTGACATCATTTATGATGACGACTCTCAGCAAATTGGAAATCTAAGGGAAATGACTCAGCCCAATAAAGGGCATCTGGAAAATTTCCATAGCTAACTTCATACTTAATGGTGAAAGACGTTTCCCCTAAACTTGGGAGCAAGGCAAAGATGTCTGATTTCAGCACTTTAAGTCGACATTGCTGTGGAGGTCCTAGCCACCACAATAAAGCAAGACAAAGAAATCAAAGGCATACAGGCTGTAAAGGAAAACAAAACTGTGTTTATTGACAGACATGACAATCTATAGTAGACAATCTCAAAGAAATTACTAAAAAGCTACCAGAATTAATATGTCTGCTAAGCAAGCTTGCAAGATATAAGCTGAAATATTACAAAATAAATTGTATTTAGTATTACTTAAAAATTGAAAATTTAAATTATAAAACACAATGCCATTTAAAATAACATATAATGCACAAAAAGGTGCAATAGTTGTAGGTTGAAAGATACCAAATATTCCTGACCTGAGAGGAAGTAACAAAGACAAAGATTGTGGTATATGAAACAATATACTATGTCCATGGATCAAAAAGTTACTGTTAAGATGTCAGTTCTCCCCAAATTGATCTACAAATCCATCATAACCCCAATGAAAATGTTTGCAAATTTTGGTAGGAATTGGCAAACATAGTCTAAAACTTACTTTTAAAGAAATATGACCTTTAATAGCAAAAACAATTTTGAAAAAGAAGAATAAAGTTGGGAGACACACCATCTGATTTCAAAGCGTATTATATAGCTACAGTAATCAAAACCGTGTAATACTAACATAAAAAAAGGCATACAGAACAGCGAAATGATTAATTTTTGGTCCCAAAGTTTCCATGGTAATTCAATGGAGAAAGGTTAGTCTTTTCAACAAATGGTACTAGTAAATCTCAACCTTCACTTCATATCATACACAAAAATCATCTCAAAAGAGATTTCAAATCTAAATATAAGAGCTACAACTATAAAATTTCTAGTACAAAAGTATTTATGACTTAGTGTTAGGTAAATGTTTTCTAGGTAAGATATACAAAAATATAAACCATAAAATAAATATTAGATAAATTGGACTTCATTGTAACTAAAAATTTCTGCTTTTCAAAATATGCTGTTAAAAAAATGAGAAGACAAGCCACAGCCTGAAAAAAAAAATGTGTGCAGCATATATCTGATAAAGGACTTGTATCTAGATTATGTAAAGAACTTTTATGTCTCAATAATATGACATACATATAATTTTTAAATGGACAAAAGACGAGCAAATTTTTCATCAATGAAGTTATACAAATGTCAAACATACAAAAAGATGTTCAACACTATTCATTATTAGAGAAATGCAAATTATAACTACCATTAGATACTGGTTCACACGAGAATGGATTTAAAAAAAAACTGACAGTACTAAGTCTTAGCAAGAACCTGGAACACTTGGAAATCAAAGATTATGTGAGGGTAGGGAAATGAAAAATGGTACAGAAACTGGACAACAGTTTGGCGATTTCTTATAAAGTTAAATAAAAACTTACCATGTGATCTAGCAAGCTCACTCAGGTATTCACTCCGGATAAATAAAAGCATTGTGTGGGGAGGGGATTGACTGCAAGTGAACACGAAAAAATATTTCTGGATGGGGGAATGGTTTGTATCATGATTGTGATGGTGGTAACTTGTCTATACACAGTTGTCAAAATACATCTAACTGTACACTTGAAATTAGTGGATTTTATTGTATATATACCATGCCCTGACAGATTTGATTCCAAAGAAGCTTCAAAGACAGAATATCTGATGAATGGTGGCCAGAGGTTGGAGGTAGGGGAAGAGACTGACTACAAGGAATTCGAGAAAATTTTTTGAGTTGGTGAAAATGGTCTCATAACTTGATTGTAGGATTCTTTATTTATTTATTTATTAAAACTAACCAAACTGGACAGTTTTAAAAGCTGAGTTTTAAACCTGACTTTTAAAAATTAATGAACAAGCAAACAAATAATTCTAGAAGACAACAGAGCAATATACTAAGGTGCCTGCAGAAAAACACTTGTGACCCTAGAGTTGTACAGGCAGCCATTTCACCAAAAGACAGTGGAAAGATGTTCTCAGAAGCACAAGGACTCAGAAAATACCCATCCAAGTACTCTTCCTAAATGAAGTATACCTGGGATCCTATGATTGAATAAAGGAACATAAGTCAAAAGAAAGAATACCAGAAACACTAATTGTTGGTCTACATGATAGGATAAATGTGGTAACAAACAGGGCCACTACAAGCACATAAATTACCTTTGTATATTAGATAGAGAAACCTTCCTCCCAGGCCCTTCCCCTTTTTTCTGAAAGAAAATACCTATATGGTAGGAATAGAAGGAGCAAGATAAATAATTACTCCATTGATTACTGTACAATGTTGAAAGAGAAAAATGTTGAATTCGTTCTTTCACAAAGGGAAATAAACAATTATCTTTCTGCCACTGACACTGATCAGTTTAATAAGCTTTAAGTTAATCTTTTAAAAATGTGAGTTAAGAAATGTCATGTGATTTAGATTAAAAACACTTTGGAACATCGATTATTTTTATTTACTCCTTTACATTTAATTTTTGTTTTATAAAGGAGTACCTGTGGTTTAAACTATTAAACCGTAAGTCCAGAAATATGTATAATATTAATTTATTTGTTACTGATTGAAGATGCCCCTGAGGACATTATGTACGCTATTATTTTTAGACTTAATGGCCACTCCACAGCTCTACAACACTGAAAACAAACAGTAGTGGTCCCGGCCTACGCAAACCCCTGTCCTAATTCCTGCTTCCTGAAGGCAATGGTTCTGCTGTTTCTTCTCCATATATACCTCCATATTTTCAAATAAAATACTTGTTGTGCTATTTCTTGATTTGTTTTTTTCCATTTAGATGTTATTTGCTGACTTTCTAATATGGAAGACAGGATTGGGAGCTCCTCCATCACACTTCACCTCCCCCATTCTTCCATTAGTGATATAACATGATGATTACTCAGATTACTACATAAATATGGTTCACAGCCGAGCTAGGTACCTACAATAGATACGTTTCTTGCCTGACGCAACTTTGCATCTTCCTGAAGTTAGTGTTTATCTTGCTTTCTCATCATCTTAGGCTTCCCTTGCAGCCAGGCTAGGTTTGCATTTTCCCCTTCTGGGTAAGTCTATAGTCTGTCTGTTTTCTAGATTCTAACATTTTGTGGCTGTCATATCCTCTTCTGTCCTCTTGTCCATATAGCTTTAAGCAGTTGTATCCCTTTATTGTCTTTTGAGCGGTATTTCAGGAAGTGAAGGCAGACACATGGGTTCCATTGACCACCATGTTTAGCAGCAGCCCCTCCCAATGCCACTAACCAATCCTGGCAGAGAGACGTCTGCAGAGGGGAGGCCAGGCCAGGAGGTGGGGGGGCCTTTCATATTAGGGCAAACTAGGCATCCTGACCCATCTGCTAACTACCGAGGCCTCGCTCAGCCACACAGTCACTCCCTGATTTGCACAGATCCTATTTCTCTTGTAATTTTGGAGAAAACATTTATTTGTTTAAAAAAATAAGTTAATTCAATGAGTCGAGGAGAAGGATGAGGGCCCATGGTCCTCACACCTACCTTCACTGCACTGAAGCAGACCGCGTGGAGCAGGGCGGCAGCCAAGAAGCTCCGGGCCACGCTGTAAACAGCTGAAGTTATCCCAGACACAGCTGGAACACAAACATCAACAGTTCTTTTCTTGACTGGCCATTCTTAAAATCAACAAATGTAAAACAGCGAAGAGATGGTTGCACATTCACATATAAGATGTTGCTGAAGGGGTAAAGAATACATCTATGGGATCCATCAGAAGGCACTGGGTGACTCATAGGTGCACGAAAGAGACTACCATTTAACTAAAAATTCAAGAGGAAAGTATTCAGAAAGAATGCTTTACAATGTTCTTAAAAGACTATGTGAATGTGTCAGAATGAAGGTAGGGAGACCTCATGGCTTACAGTTGAAAGCTGCTGGTCAAGGAAAAGGTCCTGGATAGCAATTTCAATAGAATAAATGGTAAGAAGAAGGAGGGAGGGAGAAGGCAGGAGGAGAGAGGAGACGGGAAAGGGAACAAGCAAGTGTCCCCACGTAGTGCGTGTGTGTGTGTGTGTGTGTGTGTGTGTGTGTGTGTGTGTGTGTACGTGTATGTGTTATGGGGGTGGTAACAGTGATTGCATTATGCACATGATTTCATTTACTCTTTATAGCAACCCTATGAGGTCACTGTGTTTATTTCCATTTAGAGAATAGATGAGTAGGCTGAAAAGTTAAGCAATTTATGTCATGTCGTGAGATTATACCCACCTTGGCCTGAATCTAAAGTATGACATTTAAAAGGTCACAGTGATGGTTTAGGGACACAGGTCACCTGTCTCTGTGGGTACACACACAATACACAGCACAACGTCAACCCACAGGCTCACATTGATGCATTCCCAGACTTGAGCATGTATGTGCTCCAATACACACATACACACACACATACACTTTTATATCCACTCACACATGCTCACACACATTCACACACATGGAGTGTTTTTTTAGGGAATAGTTTGAAGGGCCTCAAACCTATTCCAAATCATAGAGAATTCTACCCTTCCTTGTCTCTGTGCTTATGCTCAAACAAGCTAAGTGGACCTCTTCCAATTTGGCTACGGGAAATCTGGACAGACCTATCATCACCCAGACTGATCCAAACTGAAGTCATTTAAATGCTCTGGACAAAGAAAACCTAACTATCTAGCCTCTCATCTCCTGCCTAAGGCTATTTAGTCCTTATCTGAACTCTAGATTCCTTTACAGGAAGAATAGAATGTAAACGACTTACCAGAACCACCAAAAAACAGCATGTCAATTTGCTCCAAAAGATAAATGCAGAAAGTGTTGATTTGCGGGAAGAGTCCAAGGAGGGAAATAGCAGGGAAGCAATATAAAAATACTGAAAATGAACAAACAAAATTGACGATAAGCTTGTGGGAACTGTGTTGCCAAAGCTCCTGCTGCAGTGCTGTCTCTCTCCCCTTCCAAACCATCCCACCCAGGAATACTGGAGGAAATCTTTTTTTTGAAATGGAGTCGCCCTCTGTCACCCAAGCTGGAGTGCAGTGGCACGATCTCGGCTCACTGCAACCTCCACAGACCAATCTCAGACTCCTCTCACCTGGAGGAAAGATCCTGAGAAAGACGTTCTGATGAAAGGAATGCACGCAGCCCAGGACAGAACAAAGACTTCAGGGGTGGTGAGTGAGAGTACAGTCATCTTCAGTTTGAAAGAGTAGACTTGGACATGGGGCAGATGAGGGGAAGAGAAAGGAAACTAGGAAAACTACAGGAACATAAAAAAAACACAGGACAGGACAGGCGTGGTGGCTCACACCAGCAATCCCAGCACTTTGGGAGGCTGAGGTGGGCAGATCACCTGAGGTCAGGAGTTTGAGACCAGCCTGGCCAACATGGCGAAACCCCATCTCTACTGAAAAAACAAATACAAAATTTAGCCGGGCGTGGTGGCATGTGCCTGTAATCCCAGCTACTCGGGAGACTGAGACAGGAGAATCGCTTGAACCCAGGAGGCTGAGGTTGCAGTGAGCCGAGATCATGCCACTGTCCTCCAGCCTGGGCAACAGAGCAAGACTGTGCTTCTCAGACAAAAAAAAATCACAGGATAGTAATTACGGAAATCTCTTCCTGCATGCGAGAGGAGAGCAAAAATTGGGGCCAAGGAGTGTCCTTGCTTTGCGCTTCTGTACCCTCAAGCACTTGAGTAACTCGGAGTCTGTTACATCCTAAATACCAACTGGAAACTCAGAGTTAAGTCAGAGCTCAAGGCTGTCAAGTGGGAACTACCTGACTCAGCACTGGGTGATAATGTGACATGGATTCTAGGGTAGATGGATCACATGGTAGACGAAGGTGCTCTTGGCTGAGGAGAGGGAGCTTATGCTACCTCCCATCAGAATGATGCAATTGCAGAACTGGAGAAAACGTGTGTAGGTTATAATTCAATGTTTCAGAGAACTATTTTGTTAGAGGAGGAAAACTACAGTAGAGCTGCATTTTACAGCAACTTTCCTACCGTTGCCTCTTGCTTAATTCTACTGAAGCTGGGTTTCAGAGAAACATAGAAACTCCCATTAGCAGTGCCATAAGACATCTGTCTTCCTTTCTGTCCCTGATCATTGGGTTGTATGTCAATGAAGTTAGGTACTGGTAAACCTTAATAAAACTAAGGAAATTTGATTTGAAATCCAATATGTCTAGACGTTGGAACTATGTCCTAAAATATGCACAAACCACGGTGAACAATGGGAGGAGGATGGTAAGTGAGGCTGTTTCAGCTATTTCTGAAAAATGGGAAATGTTAACTTCCCATAGTGGCGTTGTAAGGATGAGAGCATTTGCACAACCCATTCTCTGAATATTTGATTAAAATAGTTGCTTAATGTTATTGCGTTATTTAAAACGGGCACAATAGCACCTTTGGCCATAAGATGGTAAATAATATTGCATGGACTTAGTTCTTGCTTCTCTCTTGTCCTTTTTCTGAAATGCTCCTTGTTTCGGGTTGAATTCTGTTCCCACAAAAGATGTTGAAGTTCTCTTTTTAAAAGTTGGTATGTAACGAACCTGCATGGTTTGCACATGTATCCCAGAACTTAAAGTATATTAAAAAAAAAAAAAAAAAAAGATGGTTTGCACATGTATCCCAGAACTTAAAGTATATTTAAAAAAAAAAAAAAGTTGGTTAAAATTCACTATAGAACAAAGTACTGAGGAACTGTTCCAACTCTTTGTGAAAGAAAAATTTTATGTCATGAACATGGCTATCTATGACAGTAGGGGCTGTGGTTGGTGTTGGTGCTATGTTTTGATACAGGTGGTGATTTTGTTGTGATAATTTTTGTGGCAAGATTTCAACTACATTGTAAAAAAGTAGAGCACCTGAAAGCAGTTTATTTTTCAATCAATGCAGACAAAAAGGCACAAATACTGATATGCTAGACATAACTATATAAGACATAATTTCTTTTGCAGTTTCCATACAGAGATACAAGAAATAAACAGAAATTTGATTACAGAACATATAGTCATGAACATAGAAATTTTAATCCACAAAATTCCATAAAATTTCAAACAAACTGAGAAGAGCTTCTCTTTACTTTGGGGTCAAAACCCAGCAATGACAATTTTGTGCTATGCTATATCTGCCAATTCCAGATCGGGGCAGAGGGAAGGTCCAATGAGATCTCTTATTTACCTTTCAAAATGCTGTATGCCTGGGTGACAAAGACTACTCTGAGAATGAAGAACTACAGAGAACAGTCTAGGTGTAGAATCACATCAAAGACAAAGCCAAATATTGGGAGCTATTTGGTAAATCAAGGATAAAGAGGTATTCTGTATAAGAAATACATTAGCCAATGCAACAAAACCCAAAGAAGTGAGAAGAATTAGGAGACAGTGAAAAATGGCATGAGGAAGATAAAATGGTAAGAAATACCAGAAAGTCATCCCCGGAGATGCTCTGGCTGTGGGTGTAGAATTGGAACTTAATGAAACAATACAGGAAGAACAGCAGTCAACAGAGAGGCCCATGCACTAGATCCTCTCCAAAACATACTGGAGGAGGAAAGCTCTAGTCTTTAAAATAAATGTCGTGGAGGTGGAATGGGAGGAAGAGGGAGTCCATGTGTCTCATCTGTCAGGTTGCACTGAACGTGAAGGAAAAAGCAGCCAAATGCTTGTTATGTTACCAGGACTTTAGGAAAATGACACTTGAAATTGCTGAAATTATTTTGTTCTTTTTTTTCCCCAGAAGTGAAAAATTAAAGTCTTTGTGGCTGTTCATAATTTTCCCTGTGAACAAACATTTTCTGTTAGCACACTGAGTGGGTCTATAATTTTCTCTCTCTTCTTTCTAACTTTTTATTTTCCTTAATAATTATAGTCAAGGCAGAAACTTCTGGCACAGTTCCATTTCTTTTTAAGCAAAATTCATAAATAAAAATATAGTAGCTTAAGCTACTTTTTATCAAATGTGATTTGATTTATCACATTTTTATCAAATGTGAGTGATATGAATTACCATATTTGCAGGTCTGAGGGGCAAGCAGGCAGAATTAAAATGGCACAGAGATAAAACTAAAGCCTCTGAAGTCAATGTGAATGTATATATTGTGTGTCTTCAATATGCTCTATCTGTGTATTAACTAATTGACCTCATACGGACTGAGGTCAAGAAATGAGCCTTTAAACAAGACATAGAAATGGGACGTCTGGGTGTTTAGGAAAAGGTGAGTACAATCCAGTAACTGGTTCTAAAACTTCCACTCATCTCCAAAGTTACAATCTCCATTATTGAAGATGCATTATTGTTGTCAGGGGTTTATAAACGTAAGGACCAAAAATGTAACATAAAACTCTCAGGTCTGAGAAAAACAAAAATAAAAAACACAGAGCAGTGGCCATTTGATAAAGAACCCATCCAGTGCTTGGACCCGGGCTACAACTGATGGACCTTTCATCTTGCCTGAAGTTTTTCCACGCCAGAGAACTCATTTCACTAAGCAACACCTACTCTATTGTGGGGCAGCTCTAACCCAAACCGTTTCACTGGCTTCTCTGTACTGAGCTGTAATCCACCTGCTATCTGCTGGAACTAGTTGTTACGGCTACAAAAGAGAATAAAATCCCTCCCCTTCAACCTGGCAGCATTTTAAGGATCTGAAGCTATTGTGGGTACCTCTAGCACTCAAGTGTTTCTTCCCTGGGTTGGACATTCCCAGTTCCATTACCCAGTTTCCAGACCCCATATAGGCCATGTGGCTACACATTCCTCCAGGCACACTCTAGTTTTGTTACTGCTCCTTTTGAAATATGGTACTAAGAATCAGAGACCTTTTGGCTTTCTCACCCATAGGATAATTTCAAAGCCAGTCTCACTCAGAGGCTTTTGCCGAAGCTTCCCAAATGGAAAGTAATGTAAATTCCAGCCAGAGGTCACCAGTCTCTGACTGAACACAGGAAATGACTGCGGACGAATAACTTTCACCTTATTCCTGGGAATAAAAATAAAGAACATTTTTTCTTATAATGAAAGGAAAAGTGCACAGAGTAATATTCTGAACATATATGAGGGATCATAAAAGAAAAAGAAATTACGTAGGAATATTATTCTGTGCTTCTACCTCCTTAATTCACCTGAATTTCTCCTCCTTCAATCATCTGACGTTTCCTTCTTCTCTGAGATGCTTCTCTCCTCGCATTATACATGACAAGGAGTTTCTCCATCCTTCCCACCTGCCCCATGTCCACCTGACTCCTCTCATACCACTGGCTCAGGCATTTGATTTCTTCTGCACAAGGAGGCAAAATGAGCTGCTGATACTGGACTGGCCTTGCTCCTTGTCTGGCCCTCTCCTCTGCCCCTCCTCCCGCTCTGACAGGGTGATGGTTTAATTGCAGAAACCAGGAGTGGCAGTGGGTAACCGAAACATCACCAACAAGACACTGCTCTAGGAAACACTCCAAGCTCCCTAGCACCGGCCAGAGGAGGACCACTTGCACCCAACACAGCATGAGAAGCACGATAAATCCATGGGAAACGATGTCACATGGACGTAATTCTTCCTTCTGCCTTGTCCTTTTTCTTAAACGCTCCTCATTATGGGCTGAATTATGTTCCCATAAAAGGTGTGGAAGTTCTAACTCCCAGTAACTCTAAATGTGACCTTGTTTGGAAATAGGGTCTTTGCAGATTATTGAGTTAAGCTGAGGCCCTTAGGGTCCACCTGGGCCCTAATTCAATATGACCGGTGTCCTTATGAAAAGGAGAAATTTGGACATAGAGGCACACACGCATACAGGGGAGACCATATGAACACACAGGAGAAGAATGCCATCTACAAGCCAAGGAGAGAGGCCCGGAACAGGTCCTTCTTTAGCGCTTTCAGAGGGAGCATGGCCTGGACATCACCTTGAGTTTGGACTTCTGGCTTCTAGAACTGCAAGACAATTAACTTCTGTTGTTCCAAGCCACCCAGTGGGGAGTACTTTGTTATAGCGGCTCTAGGAAGCATTACACTTCCTAGATCTGTACACTTCTTTTTCCTCCTAATAACCTTTTGTTTTCTCCTAATGTTTTTCTTCTCTCCTTTCTAGTTCCTCCATATAGCAGTGGCAGCAGCTTTAGACTGCTTACATCCCTTGCTAGTGGAGGGAGTAGAGAGAATAAGGTCCACAAAGAAGAAATGACTTTCAGTTGCCCTTGTGTTCCCTCATAAAGTCAGAAAAATAGTGTAAGCCTCTACCTCTTTCCTTTCTCTCCCATTTGTTGTAAATTTGTTTCGCAACCTTTTCCTGCTCAGTGCAAATTTGTATGTTTAACACATTCATTCCATAGGGATTGCTATTGTTCTATTTTTCTATTTATCTTTACCCCAGAAGTTATTTAATCAGCTTGCTGGATTTTTTATCGCCATTTTTACTTGTCACTGTTGACAAGCAAACAAAAATATGTATTAGGGAGAAGCTTTAATGAGGGAAAGGGAATTCCAGTGAAAAAGATAAGAATGTTCCCTCTCCAATCCCTAATGAAATTGATATAAAAACTAAAATAAAATAAGAATACGCATACCTAGTAGGATATTCTAGAACAAGGGTTATTGCTAAAAGTAAAAGCTTAGACTTTTACCAATTATTTAAGACATTAAGGTCTTACTTTTTGAGCTTTAATAACATCTCACATTCCAATGCCATTGTAAGTTTACCACACCAAGACAACTACACTTATTCCAAAGTTGACTTTTTTACAGTAGTAAACAAAAATTTTAAAAACCAGGAATGGGGGAGAGACCAATGTACATAAAAACAATTTGTAAATGGAAGACACATCATGCTTTTCGTGCCCCCAAACTTCTTTCTACAGAATTATTGGCAAAGGCACTTATTAAGTCCCTACTTATTCTAAGTGCTGAGTTAAACGGTCCAAACGGACTGTAGCCTTCTCTGACTTATGAATGGGAAGTATTCCAAAAGTTATTGTACATTAATCTCCTTAGTACTTAAAGCAGACTTTCGGCCAGGCATGGTGGCTCACGTCTGTAATCCCAGCACTTTGAGAGGCCGAGGCGGGTGGATCACCTGAAGTCAGGAGTTCGGAACTAGCCTGGCCAACATGGCAAAACCCCATCTCTACTAAAAATACAAAAATTAGCTAGGTATGATGGCACGTGCCTGTAATCCCAGCTACTTGGGAGGCTGAGGCAGGAGAATCGCTTGAACCCAGGAGGCAGAGGTTGCAGTGAGCCTAGATCGGGCCACTGCACTCTACTGGGCAATAGAGATGGACCCCCTCTCAAAAAAACAAAAACAAAACAAAACAAAAACACAGACTTTTATATTCATTAGTTCATCCTTTCAACAGATGTTTATTTAGTGCCTCTAAACGCCAGACACTGCTAAGGATTCAGTGGTAAGAAAGTAGGCAGGGTCTCTGCCTTGCCTTTTCTGAGCAAATAAGCTAGTGAGAGAGACAGGCATTATTTCAGTATTAACAATGCGAGCAGATTGCTAGAAAATGGACTAAGGACTATGAAAGTGTGGGTAGTGAGAGGACAGACAATGGGGTCAAACTTACGGAAATAAGGTGTCATAAGCCAGCATAATGAAGGACAGGGGAGGCCGCAAAACAGCTTCCGAATAGAAGGAACACACTGTGTGAGACAGAGATGAGAAGGGACCACACAATGTGTGATAAGGAGGTGAGAAGGGGTCACAGTAGTTACGTCTCCAGCTCAAGCCACAGATCCCTGTGACCTGTAAGAGGTGGCACTCTATCAACACTAACCCACATTCAAGATCCCAGGAAAAGGTGGTTGGGGGTGCCCAAGATGGAGTGTGGAGTGCAGAGAGAGAAAAGGCAGCATTTTGACATAGACAACTGTTTCTTGGACATCTTCCAAAATTATTTTATGCTTTCTCCTTCTCTAATCTCCAGGTCCTCGTGTGCCCTTGAGCTGTGGACTCCAACACTGCTGTTTGCAAAAAGAAGATGGCAGGAAAGGATGGCCCTGCAAAGTGTGCGATCATGAGTGAGCATCTCTGTCTACTCAAACTGTGATTTCTTCATTGCAGCCGACTTAGTGAGGAATATGGGCATGCTAAGTTATAAAATAATAAGAATGACAGAAGGCCTTTCTTGTGTATGTGTTTGCTCCAACCAATAGGACTGAAAAAAAAAGTAAACTAAAAAAATCAGGAAGGATAGAAGCAAATATTCTTGGGCAGGAGGGCACTGACTGGGAGATCAAATTATGGATCTGTTATTTTTTTTCCCAACATGTTTGTGTTTACTAATTGAACTCAGAGGTTCTCCGAAGCATGGTGCGTAACCCTTTGGCATTAAGAAGCTACTCTGGCTGGGCACAATGGCTCACGCCTGTAATCCCAGCACTTTGGGAGGCTGAGGTGGGTAGATCACTTGAGGTCAGGAGTTCAAGACCAGCCTGGCCAACATGGGGAAACCCCATCTCTTCTAAAAATACAAAAATTAGCCAGGTGCGGCGGCACATGCCTGTAATTCCAGCTACTTGGGAGGCTGAGGCTGGAGAATCGCTTGAATCCAGGAGGTGGAGGTTGCCTTAAGCCAAGATTGTGTCACTGTACTCCAGCTTGGGAGACAAAGTGAGACACTGCCTCAAAAAAAAAAAGAAAAAAAAAAAAAAGAAAAAAAAGAAGAAGCTACTCTGCTTCTCACATGATGTAATAGGAAAAGGTGTGTTGAGGATGCATAGAAAGGGGGGCTTGTGGTGGGTTGGGCATGTGGGGAGTAAAGAGTGAAGAGTTCAGTACCAATGCAGCAGGAAGAGGAACAGGAAGCCGGAGGGTGGAGTGCCTACCAGGGTTTTCACCTATAAGGAGCACAAACAAAGCTTACACCATACCTGGGCATCTCCCTAGTTCCACTAGAGAGATTCGGGAGGGCTGTCACGGAGGTTGGGAAAGGATGATGTGGGACCAGAGGCTTTGACAGTCTCTTGAGTAAGATTTCTAGCTGGCAAGCGAGAGATCCAGCTAGTGATGTTGGTAGAAGCTACCCTTTATCAACTCAGCTGGTCAATGTGATCACAGACAATAACAAACTGGCAGGTGTGCAAACCGCTGGATGTCTCTGCAAGAATTCTCAGAGCATATGCAGTCAGGTCAATACCAGAGCAACCACTTTGCATAATAGGGACAACAACAGCTGATGCTTGGTGCCCAGCACTGCTCTCTATGTCAAAGTATACCAACTCATTGAAAACTTTCAGTAATTTCTGAGGTGGCTAATATTTTTGCCTTTATATCACAGTTAAGTTTTGCTCAAAGTCATATACTTAGTAGAGTGGCAAAGCTGGAATTCAAACCATCAGCAGTTTGGCTCCAGAGTCAGGACTCAAAACCATGCAGGTGACTCGTTTAAACAGAGCATTTTATATCAAATACTGCTTCAACCTTAAGTCAAGCAAAGGGATTGGTGGAAGACTGGGTGATCTGAGTATCCAGGTCTCCGCCTGGACTGAGAACCATGCCCACTCATGCTGCTACCCCGATGGCAAAACCATCCCCAGCAGGAACCATAACAACTATTCTGCAGATGGGCATTTTTTTTTATTTGTTTGTTTATTTTTGAGAAACAGTTTCACTTGTTGCCCAGGTTGGAGTGCAATGGCGTGATCTCGGCTCACCGCAACCTCCGCCTCCCAGGTTCAAGCGATTCTCCCACCTCAGCCTCCTGAGTAGCTGTGATTACCAGCATGCGCCACCATGTCCTGCTAATTTTTTTGTATCTTTTTAGTAGAGACGGGGTTTCACCATGTTGGCCAGGCTGGTCTTGAAATCCTGACCTCAGGTGATCCACCCGCCTCAGCCTCCCAAAGTGCTGGGATTATAGGCGTGAGCCACCGTGCCCAGCCCAGATTGGCATTATTACAATGGGCATTATTATAACGAACATTATATTGCTACAACTTCTTGCTCATAAATATCAAAATCCTTTAAAAATAATTCCACAGTTGGATGCCTTGAAGCTTGGGCTCCCAGACAGTCTTCAGTAGATACGCGAGCCAAGAGGAAAATACACATCTCTTCACTCAATAATGAAAGTAAGGAAGCTTAGAAATTCAGAAGACAAGGGCAAGACATACCCCCACCCACCATATTCTTCCCCACAAGCCCATAATTAACTCACCTATTAGGTAGTCCCTAGCTGATTGGAGAAACACTGGAGAGAAGAGCTTCAGGCCATACACAATGTAACTGGGAGGGTGCCTGGCTTTGGCCCCTGTATCAAGAAGCAAAATAAGGCCACACAGCACACAAAAATAGATTGGTCTGCTATATGTTATGATTTGGTTGTGTCCCTAGAAAACAAACACAATTTCTGAATGGTACCTTTTATTTTGATTAAATGACAAAAGCCTCATAATTAGTAATTTACACTATATCTTATAACTTATACCATATAACACATTTTCCCCCAACCACCACAATTCATACACACACACACACACACACACACACACAAACAGGAACAAAAGAAAAGAAAAAAGTCTGATTCTTATTCTGCCAAACCAGAATAAGACTATCAAAAAAAAGTTATGCCTATCAATCTCAACAAGATTTACCTGAAAATTTAATTACCATCCTGAGAGAAAATCTAGATCTAATTCAATGCTTTCCCCAACAGTGAAACTTCCATTCATCTTGTTCATTTCAAGTGCAAAACTAATTTAAACCACTGTTTGCTCTACACTTGGGTGCCACTATTAATAAGAAATAGAATTATAATTTGTGGGCTTTAATTTCCTAGTATCTTAGAAAGCAAGACCATATGAGTACAAAGTTATACCTGCAGAGATTACATAAAATGTCTCAGTGTAGCACAGTGCAGTCATTCAGCTTAAAAAATGTCTTATTTATACTATGTACAAAGCATTTCCCTGTGAGGGGTACCAAATATTTAGCAGACCTGATCTTATCCCTATACCTATTGTTATGAGGCAAAGTAGAATTATTTTTTATTCTTCTTGAATGGATAGAAAAATTAAGGAAAAGATACAACATCAACTTTCCAGGGCAAAAGCCAACAAAAAATTTACATCTCCTAAATCAATGCACAAATTTATAAGATTCAGGGGAGAAAACACAATGAAAATGAATTGGGAAAAATGTCTTTTGCAATTCATGAACTGCCTCGAGTGTAAAAAGGAAGGATTAAAGTGATATGGTTTCAGATGTGAATTTTTAAAGTCACTGCCTTGAACATGTTATATTTAGAAATGCAATTTAAATTGCCACTGCTTCTATAATAGAAATCGTCCTATTCTGAGACCATCTTTTAAGAGGAAGAAAAACACAGTCTGTCCACGGAGGCTGGCTATGCTTGGCCCAGAGTCCAGGCTCAGTCTTAAGAATACTTCTACTCTTATGAAATTTCCTTTTGAATCCAACTAGGTCGCAGATTAATGGGTATGGGAATACTTTTGTTGCATTTTTTTAAAACTGAAACTAAAGCCCACGTTCCATCTAAATGCATTTCTCATCAAGTGAATAGCAAACTAAATTTGTTGGTATAAATAACAATGCAGTATACAAATACGCACGCAAATGAGACATTTCCTCAAACTGGCATGGTTTAGGAAATACAATTAAATAGCTACTTTCCACTTGCTCTGAGTTTTTTCTTGTGTTAAAAGGTTAAAAATACATTATTCTAAAAATTAAAAGTCTTTGGCCTTTAACCAGTCTGAGATATTATTTTGAATCTTCCAAGTCAAACTTTACTGGGCATGGGGAGGTTTTCTTTGTATCTGTAATTTATGAAACAAAACTTACAGCACTGTTACAGAGAGCCTGCCCTCATCACCATGTTCCTGCGCTACCACATTTTCCCATCCTGTGTTTTGGGTCCCTAAACTATAATAAGCATTTTGCTAACACAAGGCACATAAACCACTTTTTTTTTGAGACCCAGTCTCACTCTGTCGCCCAAGGCTAGAGTACAGTGTTATGATCTTGGCTCAGTGCAACCTCCATCTCCTGGGTTCAGGTCTTTCTCCTGCCTCAGCCTCCCGAGTAGCTGGGACTTTACAGGCACCCGCCACCATGCCCTGCTAATTTTTTGTATTTTTAGTACAGATGGGGTCTCACTATGTTGGCCAGGCTGGTCTCAAACTCCTGATCTCAGGTGATCCGCTCGACTCGGCCTCCCAAAGTGCTGGGATAACAGACCTGAGCCACTGTGCCTGGTCGCTACTTGTATTTGCCTCAATTTCTGAGAACACCTGCTAATAAAATGTCCCTGCTCTTCAATACCTACTTCCACATATGAATGAATCATCAAATCTCCTAAGGACTGATTTTTTAAATTTTTTCAATAGAAAAATTCCAGTAGCTCCACCAGCTAAAGTCTGATCATAATCTCTTAAAAACTCACTTGACACCATCAGGCCCCATCTGCTTTTAACCTTAAAATACACTGTGGGGAGCACCAATGGAATTCAGCTGTGGAGCATCTCGCAAGGCTATTGCACAAAAGCAGATCTCTGTGCACGTTTGCATTTTCCATCAGCCCTACCTCCATAAGCCATCTCATGACCCAAGTGCTAGTCTCAGTGCAGAGAAGGAGCAAGGTTCAAGACTCGAACAAAAACTCCAGGAGTCCTGCCTGTGGCAAGCAGCAGTGTGTGTGGCTAAGTGATGAGGCCATCCTAATCATCCTCTTAGAGACAGTGGAAGGGTCAGCTCCTTCGAATGTTCTGTTGTTGTGAAGGCGGGGAAAAGGTTTTTGTTGTAAGGGAGCTGGGGTGTCTGGGAAAATTGTAGAGGCGCATGGCTTAGCCTCAAGGGGAATCACCTGAGGTCTGTGCACAGCCTGGCCAGGCTGCCTCCATCCTCCCTCTCAGCTCTGCTGCATGTGCCAGCTCCAGGCTTCATTCCCCGGAACAGCAGACAGCCCCTGACACCTGCTGAGTTGACAGATGTTCCTGTCTCTCCCACATTCAGCATTTTTTTATTTTAAGAAAGAAAAAATCTTGCTTTGTCACCCAGGCTGGAGTGCAGTGGCATGATCATAGCTCACTGCTGCCTCCCTCTCCTGACCAGCTACTCTTTTTGACAACTGATGTAAAACGACAACAGCCACAACAGCTAATGTTTGTCTGGCCTTTCCTGCATCCCAGGCACTGAGTGTCCTACGTACTTCAAGCGTATTCATGTAGCAAACCCTCAGAACACCCTGAGAAGCACATACTATTCTCCTTTTGATAAGACTAAACTGAGACATAAGGATGAAGAAACTGTCCCAGGCCTCACGCACAGAAAACAGCAGGGCAGAGTAAGGACTGGAGCCCCATTTGCCTGGCTTCCTCCACCGACCATAGGGAGGCATACATGTGGCACTGGATTCTCCAGACCCAAGGACTCAGCCTGACATCACAAAATTTCATTCATAATCGTCACTCTTTAAACACAGAATGTGAACGTTACTCATGTGAAGCAAATTCAGAGAATGAGGAAAGCATCTGTGATAGTCTTAGGATGTCAGTTTTTGCAAAGGACTCTGGGCAGAGAACAGGGCTCTTTACCTGCAGAAGGTGTAGAAAGCCCAGACATTCCCTGCCCGTTTCTCTGCTGTTGCCCTGTGACATGATGGTCACGTACGTTGAAGTCTCATCACTGCCACAAAGGTTTGCTGTGTTTTATGGTTTCTCACAATGGTGTCGGTTAGTTTAATTAAACATTATTTTCTGGTGGTTGTTGATGATTTCGTTTTTACTTTAGCTTTAGCAGTTCACTTGTACATTCAGAGCCATCCTAAACGTTCATAATGCTCTTTGGTTCCCATTGTATGTGGGTGGAGCAAACAAGGACAGCTGGGGGTGGGCACCCATCACCCCACTGCGACCCTAAACAGCAACTATTTTATGATCCACACTTTGTATATACAAGAGAATTCGAAATATTTTAAAGAATTCTCTTTGTATGGAAGAGAAGCAGCAGGCAAAGGGTTAAATAATTCTCAACCGGTTACTATTGAGATATTAAGATGCAATGTCAATTTAAATATAGCAGAAATGTGATAGGCTACTTTAAAAATTGAAAAGAAATAGGCAAATACGATTGTTTAAGCTTAGTTTATCGTTGAATTCTACAGAACAATTTATGTTAGGTTCAACTTCGTAACTTTCAGATCTGTGAACCATGACAAAATGGCAGATGCAGTTGTCCAGGCAAGACAGCAGTGAAATGGGCATCAAAGTGTTCATCAAGTGCTTCCAGGGCACTCCATTCTGCTACCTCCTAGTTCATGTATTTTCCTCCTGTCTCAGCACTGCCCTCAAAGGCAGTGAAAGAGAGCAGAAAGAGTGGTGATCTACATTCTGCCTTTAATCAATGGTAGACATTAAGTATCATTTGCAATGGTTTCTGTTTTAAATAGTACCATTTTGAACAAAGACACAATTGAATATTATTTGAGAACTTTTCATCAAGATCCACTAAAACTAATTTTAGTTTTCTTCTTATTTCTTAGGATTGAGTATTGGGAAATTATTTCATGTCATTCAAAATCATTCCTCTGATAAACCCTACGTTGGCCAGGTGATCAAAGTCAACATCAGCAGAGACAAATCATACTGATAACTTGTCCCGTTGATGTGATGTGATCCATGTAACATGTTACCTCTGTGGTTTTCCTCCTGAAATCCATAATCCCATTCTTACCATGAGATAAACATCAGAAAAATCCCAACTAAGAAATGTGTATAAACTACCTGACGAGTCCTCAAAACTGTCAAGGTCATCAAAAGCTATTAGTATATTGCCAGTCTATGTTCCTCGGATTTCTTCCAGTATCCACCTCACCCTATATATTTTTAAGTTGCCCAGAAACTGTTTCCTTTTAGAATCAGACTAATTTTTTTTCAGGCTTAAGGAAAATCTGAGAAATTATCACAGCCAAAAGGAGCCTACAGAGACATGGTAGCTATTATAACGTAATTTGGTGCCCTGGATGGGAACCTCAAGCAGAAAAAGGATATTAGGTAAAAACCAAGAAAATCTGAATAAAATGTGGACTTTAATAATAATGTATCAATATTGGTCCATTAATTGCAACAAATGTATAATATTGTGACTAATGCACGAAGTTAATACAGTGAAACTAAGAATGGGGTATACAGACATTCTCAGTACCATTTTCCCAATTTTTCTGTAGATTTAAAACTATTCTAAAATAAAAGGTTTACTTACAAAAAATAATTCCTAATACTTTCTATATAACCTGAAGTAGATACCAAATGTCTTCACTGAATAGTAGCAACAGTTAATTGAATAGAATGCATAACAAGCTGTAGCCCTCACTCTTTGCAGTTTGTACTGTAAGGAATCAAGACACATATGTAAAGAGGAAGGAAACATTTACAGAGGACTTAGTACACTTAGTATACTCTAGTATACGCTAAAGCCTGTACTGGGCATACTACATACATTGCCCAGTGCGCTCTTCTTTTTTTTTTTTTTTTTTTTTTTTTTTTTTTTTTGAGACAGAGTCTCACTCTGTCACCCAGGCTGGAGTGTAGTGATGTGATCTCGGCTCACTGCAATCTCTGCTACCCAGGTTCAAGCGATTCTTCTGCCTCAGCCTCCCGAGTAGCTGGGATTACAGGCACCTGCCACTGCGCCCGGCTAATTTTTGTATTTTCAGTAGAGACGGGGTTTCACCATCTGGGCAAGCCTGGTCTTGAACTCCTGACCCTGTGATCCACCCACCTCAGCCTCCCAAAGTGCTGGGATTACAGGCGTGAGCCACTGTGCCCAGCCGCCCAGTGCATTCTTTATTAAATCCAACTGATGTTATTCTGATTATCCATATTTTGCACAAACATAAAAATACTGCTAACAATTGCTAAGTGCTTCAGGGCCAGATACTGTGCTAAACACTCAGGGATGCTACATTGTTTCCTTCTCTTGCAATCCTGTTTTATTATTTATTCCTCTTTTGCAGATGAAAAGCCTATGATTGAGAGAAGTAAGTTTCCCAGGCTCTCACAGCTTACACATGGTAAGGCTGGATTCAAATATGAACCCTGTATGCTTTTGGTTACTCCAATATTTCTCAACGTGTGATCTGTGTTTGCCTCCACCATAATGACCTGGGAGTGTGTAAAAATGCAGATTACCGGGTGCTGTCCCAGCCAGTAGAGGGGAGGCGGGAAATGGAGCTCTGCCTCTGCCTTGCCCAGGTGATCCCGGGCACACAGCTCTAGTTTTTCACCGCCTCTTGGATATTCTACTGAACTTTGCTTTCTGGGTTATTATTAGTGGTTACTGTCAGTTAGTCCTATATGGACACCTGTGTAAGCAAATTAATATCTTCATTCCCCATTAACATATTGCCATCTCTGATCCTCAAATTGCAAAGTTTCAGTTAGACAGTATCCAACTCCTAATCTTTCTAAGCTTTCCCAGACTTATTTTCTTTTAGAATCAAACTAATTTCTTTTGACCCCAGGGGCTACTGTATCATACCTGTTGTCATGCCATTATTATTAATTCTGCATTTAAAACTGAAATACACAGTGTTATGCAAAAATTTTATTTTCATTTCACTATCTTCTGATTTTAACAACTTGCTCAAAATATGCCACCTGTGCTCTTAGAAGCAAGCAAAAAAGAAAGGTCTGTCAATCACTCTAAGAGCAAAAATTGGCTGAATTTATTAATAGCTACCCTCCACAAATGTGCAAAGTAGTGCAGTCTGAAAAGCAGTTTGGTTCCTTTCACAGCCCATTATGAATAAAAATTAGCAGCAAGCTTGAGAACCATCTCTGTGTCCCAAACCTGGGTTCCCGCTCCTGACAATCTCCTTTCTAAAGCTTTCTATCTGCGAATGGGAGATAATAAATCTGTCTTCTAAATACCCACATGGTTCAGTCAGATTGCAATAGGAAATATTTTATAGCTACCATATTTTGTTTCTTCATTAGAAGTACTGGAGAAATATCAACCCAAATCAGAGACTAATCTACTTAGAAATCTGTGTCAGCAAATTAATTACTGCAATAAACATAGTTAAATGTCTGACTATGTCTTACAAAAGCGATTTCTTACTGTCTCACTATATGACATGCTTGCTCAGATAAAGGAATAGCAGCTTGATTGAGTCCTCTAGGAACTAAATAATATAACTCCAACCTAGAGCAGTGGCATAGGGGCCATAGTAACAGACATTACAAATCCACAAGGATTACGCAGCTGTACTTGCCATCCACCTTTACTGGCATGTCCTGCATTATTTCTGAAAGGATATGCAGGAAAGGAATGTTTAACAGCGTAGAACACCCCTCCCCAGAGTCATGCAGAAAGACAGCGACACTGAAGTGCAGTTAGGAGTGAGGAGAGTTGACTAAGGCAGGAGAAAGGTGATGTGGCATCTAGGTTGGGCTTGAACAAAAAAGCTTCAAAGCTGTACATCTCTCTCACACCACCTAACCCAGATTTCTGATGATAATCACAACAATACATCTCAATACCCTAATTATGCTGCTTCTACTTATCTTGACATTCAGACTCTAGGATAAAAGAAGATGTATTACATGTAAACCAATTATGGGGAACAGAGGAATTTAACAAGATAGCAATGCATGCCATGTGATCGTCCAATTATAAGCTTTTCGTAATTACTGTGAGCTAAACAGGAGCTATCACAGATTGAAAAACGGGTTCTAAATCCTGGATATAATTTTTTTTAAAAGCACAACAGAGGGAAAATCAAGCTTTCTTTCATTGGGAGGGTTGAAACAAAGGAGACAGTTGCTTAGCGAGCTGGGGAGTCTACCTGGCAGTGAACTCGGTACAGACGCACGTGGCCTAGATGCCTGCAAGGGGCACTGCCTGTCCCATAGCACCCACCCCGTAGGCCACTGTGGATGAGCAAAGGGGCAGCAGGCTCAGAGGAAAGCACATGTGTGTGTTTCAGAGCTCACAAAATAATGCCAGGGCACCAACAGATCAGCATAGGTGAGCTCAGAGTCTTTGTTACGAATTAGCTCCAAGTTACAGAGATGAAAAGTTAACAATATACGTGAAAATGTGGAATAAAGAGATCAGCTTCATGTAAAAAGAACGAATGATTCAGGAAAATGCAAGTTAAAACCACAATAAGCTATCACCTCATGCCTGTTATGATGGCTTTAATCAAAAAGACAAAAGATAACAAGTGTTGGCAAGGATTTGGAGAAAAGGAAACCCTTCTATACTACTAGTGAATATGGAAATCGGTACAGTCATTATTGAAAACAGTATGATTTCTCAAAAAAAATAATAAAAATAGAATTTTTAATTCTATTTTTGAATATGATCCAGCAACCCTACTTCTGAAGATATATCCAAAGGAAATAAAATCAATATGTCCAAGAGATATCTACATCACCATGTTCACTGCAACACTCTTCACAACAGCCAAGACATGATATCAACCCTAAATGTCCATCAACAGATGAATGGATAAAGAAGATGTGGTATACACATATAATAGGAATATCATTCAGCCTAAAAAAAAGAAGACCATCCTGTCATTTGCAACAACACTGATGAATCTAGAGGATATTATTAGGTTAAGTGAATTAAGTCAGGCACAAAAAGGAATATACTGCAGGATGTCACTTACATGTGGCATCTAAAAAAGTTGAACCCAAAGAAAAAGAGAATAGAATGGTGGTTACCAGGAGGCAGTGGGATGGGGAATGAGGAAGGATTGGCTAAAGCGTACAAAGTTTCAGCTGGACAGGAAGAAGGAGTTCTGAAGATCTTCTGTATAGTATGGTGACCACAGTTAATAATAATACGCTGTTATACTCAAAAATTGCTAAGAGAGTAGATTTTAAATGTTCTCACCAGGAAAAAAATAACTATATGTGGTTATAGATATGTCAAACAGCTTGATTTAATAATTCTACAATGTATACATACACCAAAACATCACCCTGTACCCCATAAGTATATACAATAAATTTTAAAAATAAGAATAATGATTCATGCCCATATAATTATATCACTACAAAGAGCTAACATTTATTGAGCAATCTCTCTGTGTCAGGCACTGTTATAGCACATACATGGATTACTTAATCCATGTAGGCATTTCCATTAGACTTATTTACACATAGGGAACATGAGGCATGAAGAGGCCCAGTAGGTTGTTCAATGTCAAGCATTCAAGTGGAGGAATCAGGACACAAAGACAGGCAGTCTGATGGCAACGTCTGTGGGATCTTCCCCCCAGATGGCTCAGTCTCTGCTGACTTGAATCCAGTGGGATAGGAAAAACTCTGCATGCACTCTTCACCCCCTGCCCCACACCTTCGCCCGTACCACCCACACCATGCTCTCAGGTCTAGCCGGAAGCTGGCCACCATGCACTTATATATATATTTGATATTTCCATTTTATATTCAATATAGAGAGCTAGGTACAGACTTGGCCCTTTGACTAGATTTTGGCTTTTTCCTTGTCTTCAACACAGACAGACAAGAAAAACTACTTGCCTGTATTTGGAAACTTACGTGTATTGGTGAGGCGGGGTCAGGCTGAACACTCTAAAACACAAATCAGAAGTGTCTGTGTCATCATCTCATGATTTCAAGGCTACATTAGTGACAGCACACGCTACTGGTAAGAATTAGATGTGGTCTTGCCTTTAGCAGGGAGTACTGGCAGCTGGCCATGACGAGGCAGAAGAGGAGCACCCACATATCTTTGCAAAAGCCTCGGCTCAAGGTCAGAAATCCAAGGAGGGAAACCAGGACAATGAGTAAAATCGCCAGTACATTCTCCTTGATGTCTTCAGTTCTGTGCAAAATATATACATAAAAGCAAAAAAAAAGAAAAGTAAGTTTTGCCTTTTTAAAAAATTTTATTTTATGATTTTTTGAGACAGAATCTCACTCTATCCACCAGGCTGGAGTGCAGTGGTGTGAGCTTGGCTCACTGCAAGCTCCGCCTCCCAAGTTCAAGCGATTCTCCTGCCTCAGTCTTGGGAGTAGCTGGGACTACAGGCACACACCAACACATCCGGCTAATTTTTTGTATTTTTTTAAATAGAGACAGGGTTTCACCATGTTAGCCAGGATGGTCTCGATCGCCTGACCTCGTGATCTGCCTGTCTTGGCCTCCCAAAGTGCTGGGATTACAGGTGTGAGCCACCGTGCCCAGCCAGTTTTGCCATTTTTAAACAGAATGCCTTCATGTTTCCAAAAAAATGAACCATGACAACACAGTAGTTACCTTAAGCAAGACTTTATTCCCCTATGAGATTTTAAGGTATCTTTCTTTACTTATTCCTCATGCTATATAAACAAAATCCAACTTAACACCAGATTTTTGTTATTGAAGGGAATAAAATCTCATCCCATTGGATCTCCTTGGCCACTAAACTGGGTTTACTGTCAAAATGTAGTTAATGATGCCATCCATGACCATGAAATGTGTTTCAGATAAAGAGCTTCACTGGTTCCTTTCAATGGAAGGGCGTGGAAGGGGGATGCATTCACACCTGGCCTAAGCAGACAATCATTTCCAGATAAAACTTTTAGTGTCCGAGTTTACTGTCAAATTTCAGGAGCCAGGAGAGCTCCAGCAGGAGAGTTAAGGGTGAACTGCAACTTCCTCACAATGCAGAGGGCCGGCCCTGGGGTGTGTTGGGTCCACAATGTCTCGCTGGGTGACTCTTGTATGGACTCTCCATACAAGGTGTAGGGTCGAGAGGTGGGGTCATCCAGAGGTGGAGTGTTATCAGGTGGGTATGCAAAGGACAACGTAAGGCTGTTTTAGGATAGAGATAGGAAGGGGCTACAGGGCTGGATCAGGTAGCCTAGGTAGAATAGGAAGAAAACTGAAGACGGCAAGGGCTGCAAGGTAAGAGACATATGGTGGGGCAAATTGCTGGAGAGGACTGAGGAACATTTGAGGAAGTCAGAGAGAGATACGAAGGATGAGCAGAGACAGGATTATAATGTCAGAGGTGGAAGACTTCTGTGAGAGGATAAGATGCAGGGTGAGGCCATGGAAGGGAGTGGCAGAAATGGAGTCACAGGGGATGGCACGGACCACAGGGTCAGGGAACAACGGGCCTGGGTGTTTGGGTCGGTCATTCACAAGGATTCTGAGTATACATCTCACCTTTCCAGTTTTTGCTCATATATCTGTTTTTCTACCCCACTAAGCTGATATCTTTTTTAGACAGGAATAATTGACTACTTTGTGCCTAGCAGGTAGGCAATTGTGAACATTTAAAAAAAATTAATAGGCTATATTTTTGAGAGACATTTGTGATTCACAGCACAACTGAGGGGAAAGTATGGAGTTCCCACATAGCCCCTCCCCACAGACACATACACACAGCCTCCCCCACCATCAGCCTCAACTGATGAACCAACACTAACACGTCATTATCCATCAGTATCACCCAAAGGCCACAGTTTACATTTGAGTTCACTCTTGGTGTTATACATTGGGTTTTGGCAAATGTATAATGGCATGTCTCCACCAAATGGGAACTCTAGTGAAAGTTCCACTGCCCTAAAAATCTTCTGTGCCCCACCTATTCATCGCTCCCCCACCCTAAGCCCTGGCAACAATTGATCTTTTTATTGTCTCCATAGTTCTGCCTTTTCCAGAGGGCCATATAGTTGGAACCATACGGTATGTAGCCTTTGCATATTGGCTCCTTTCTTTAAGTACTATGCATGTATTGCTCCTCCATGGCTCTGTGGCTTAGTGCCTCACTTATTTTTATCTCTTATAGTATCTCGCTGTATGAAGATACCACAGTTTGTTTATCCATTTGCCTTTTGACAGATATCTTGATTGCTTCTGAGTTTTGGCAATTATAAATAAAGTTGTCATAAACATTCATGTGCAGTGTTTTGCATGGACGTAAGTTTTCAACTCATTTGGGTAAACACCAAGGAGCATGATTGTTAGATCATGTGATAACAATATGTTTAGTTTTATAAGAAACTGCCAAATTGTCTTCTAAAGTAGCTGTACCATTTTGCATTCCCACCAGCAAAGAATGAGAGTTCCTGTTGCTCCACATCTTCACCAGCATTTGGTGTTGTCAGTGTTTTGGATTTTGGCCATTCTAACAGCTATGTCTGGTATCTCATTGTTGCTTTAATTTGCAATTCCCTAAGGACTATTGATGTTGAGGGTCTTTTCATATGCTTATTTGTCATCTGCATATCTTCTTTGTTGGGGTGTTTATTTGGGACTTAAGCCCATTTTCAGGTTGTTCTTTTTTCTTACTGTTGAGTTTTAAGTGTCTTTGTATATCAGATAACAATCCTTTGTCTTTTAAAATATTTTCTTCCATTCTGTGGAACATTTTTTAACGAATGAAAAAATGAGTGAAAAAGAACCCATATCTAACGCTGACACTTGATGCTTCAATAGCTAACAAAAATGTGAGAAACAGTAAAGAGAAAACTTTTGAAGAAATGAACAAATGCATGAATCATTTGATAGGGACTTTGCATATATAATTTCAGACAGATAGCTATAGAGATGATTGATTGATAGATATGTATACAGATTTCACAGATTCAAAGAAATAGAAAAATAAATAACTATAGTAAAATAAGTCTGGAGCTGAGGCTGCCAAGAGGCATAGCCTTGGGCCTCCTACACAAGGAAGGACAGGAAACTGAGGACAATAGCCAGGAGAAGGAAAACAATGGGTGATTTGGTTGACTGAACTGTAGCTGATATATTACAGAATAATAGAAGTAGGGTAGAAAGATAACATACAAATATATAGAAAGGCTGAGTATTCAGATAACCATGAGGCTCAAGCTGAATTTTTTTTTTTTTTTTTGAGACGGAGTCTCGCTCTGCCGCCCAGGCTGGAGTGCAGTGGCCGGATCTCAGTTTCTCAGTTCACTGCAAGCTCCGCCTCCCGGGTTCACACCATTCTCCTGCCTCAGCCTCCCGAGTAGCTGGGACTACAGGCGCCCGCCACCTCGCCCGGCTAGTTTTTTGTATTTTTAGTAGAGACGGGGTTTCACCGTGTTAGCCAGGATGGTCTCGATCTCCTGACCTCGTGATCCGCCCGTCTCGGCCTCCCAAAGTGCTGGGGTTACAGGCTTGAGCCACCGCGCCCGGCCTGAATTTTTTTCTTAAATCTGGGGAAACCAAAATATATTTGGCAAAAAGGAAATTGTGGGTGTCTTTTATTTTCCACTATGCATTTTTAATAGTGCTCAATATATTTGGTGTGTTCAGGTCCGTAAAATTCATGATGCTCATAACATTTTGATGGATACCTAAAAATATCCAAAGGTCTTGGAAATAAAATTTCAAAGAAAAACAAACAAACAAACAAACTTTTTTCTCTTTGGGGAGGGGAAAGAATAAGGTTCCTAAAAGGTATTTTTCCTCCAAATTCTTCTCTGCCAGGATTCAATTCCTCTGCCCCCAGGCTCCGACTCCTCCCTTCCTCAGTTTCTTGTTTATGTACCTTTAAATATTGGGTTAAAAAATTTACTTGCCAGACAAAGAGTGACATGACTAAGGCTGTACTTTTGAAAGATTTATCATGCAGAGGTGTACAAGGTGCACTGGATGGGGAAGAGACCAGAGCAAGGATAAACAAAACTCCCAGGAGAGGTAATGAGGGCCTGGGAAATTCACATGGCTGGGGAATAGGAAGGGACCCCTGACTCAGGGACACAATTCAGAGTGAGGCTGAGAGAACTCCAAATGGATTACGGACAATGATGGACTGATTGAAAGAATAAAGATTACTCCAAGATTTCAATCTGAGAAGAAAAGGATCATGGCAGAATCCATGGCAGAAATTAGGAAGCGGAGCCGATTTGCAAAGGAAAATTGGTTTCTTCCTTTATGCAGCAGAAGTGCTCCGTACTGCTCTAGCTGCTTTGATATCAGTGAACAAAAGGGATGGGAGCTTCCTTTCTCATGAGTGGTGCCATAAGTAAGTATGAATAAAAAAAGTTCAGTAAAATATACAATATGTAAACACAGCTGCAACAGAAAAAAGAATAGAACAAGGCAAGAGAAAAGGTGAGGGAGTTGGCACTGCAAATGTCTGGGAGACAAACGCTCCAGGCTGCAGGAACTGCCAGTACAAAGGTCTTAAGCTGGAGGACTGCCTGGCATGCTTGAAAGACAAAAGGAAGGCCAGTATGGATGCAGAAAAGCCCACAGGGATAGTGGGAGATCAGGCCAGAAAGCAAATTAGTGGCTACAGCATCGGGGACTTATGGGCATTGTGAGCACTTTGATTTTCATTCTGAGTGAAATGGGGAGCCGTTGCTGGGCAGTCAGCAAAGCAGTGACGTTGAAAAGCCTTATTGTGTTGTGTTAAGAATACTGTACAGGGGCTGAGCATGACGGGCACTTGTGATCCCAGTTACTTGGGAGGCTGGGGCAGGAGGATCGCTTGAGCCCAGGATTTTATGACCAGCCTAGGCAACAGTCGAGGCAAACGAGTCAGTAATGTGAGAAGTTAAAAAAAAAAAAAAAAAAGCTATACAAAGAGAATGAATGGTTATAAGCAGGGAAGATGCTATTGCAGTAACCAGATGAGAGATGAAATGGCTCAGACCAGGTGGTCATATTAACACTGAAAAGATGTAATAGATACACTTGGAAGGAACAATGAAAGTAACTTCCTATAAGAGACTGAGTGTAGGTGTGAAAGGAAAGAAGACTCAAGGACAACTCCAAGATATTTAAGCAGAGAAACCAGAAGGATGGAGTTGTCATCACCTGAGATGGGGAAGACCACAAGTGGAGCAGGCTTGGGTGAGGGTGAGATGAAGAGCTCAGTCTTGGATGTGAGATGTCATCCTGATATCATGAGATGTCAATTTGGTAGTTAGATATACAAGTCTGGAATTCAGGAGATGAGTCCAAGTTGGTGATACAAATCTGAGTGTCGTTGGCATATTAAAAGCCATGAGACTGAGTGCCATCACCAAAGAAAAGAGGGCAGATAGAGAAAGAATGAAGACTAAGAGCTTTGCAGCCACTGGCGACTTCACCATTATAGGGTCAGGAGGCAGAAAAACCTGTAAATCTTCCCTTCCTACGTAGCAGCGACCAGCAAGGCAGAAGGAAAACCAAGAGAATGCTGAGTCCTGGAAACCAAGAGAACCTCTACCAGGCAGGAGGAGAAATTAACTCTGTCAAATACTCCAAATGAGTCTAGTAATGTGAGAAGTAAAAGATGGAGTCAATGGTGACCCTGACAAGGGCAGGTTCAATGGAGTTTTGGGGTTGGGGGAGCCTGAACGGGACAGGATTATTAGAGAATGAAAGAAGAGCAAGTGGAAACAAACACAGGCAACCCTTCAAGGAGTTCTGCTGCAAAGAGGAGCACAGAAACAGGACCGTGGCTGGTAAGAAAGTGGGGTAAGACAGGATTTTTTAAAAAATACTTTAAGTTCTGGGGTACATGTGCAGAACGTGCAGGTTTTTTACATAGGTATACATATGCCATGGTGGTTTGCTGCACCCATCAACCTGTCATCTAGGTTTTAAGCCCTGCATGCATTAGCTATTTGTCCTAATGCTCTCCCTCCCCTTGTCCCCCACCCTCTGACAGGCCCTGGTGTGTGATGTTTACCTCCCTGTGTCCGTGTGTTCTCATTGTTCAACTCCCACTTATGAGTGAGAACATGCAGTGTTTGGTTTTCTGTTCCTGTATTAGTTTGCTGAGAATGATGGTTTTAAGGAGGATTTTTAAGGATGAGAGCTGTGTGTGTTCTCACGATAACAATGATGACAATTAGTTTAGTTTGAGAAGTATGAATGATTCCCTCTTTACTTGTCATATAGCCAGCTACCTCTCATATTTTACATCTGTTTGTGTGTTTCCTCCTCAGAAAAGCCTTTGCCAACTACCAGTTTGAACATCAGTGCCCTTCCCTCTCAGGTCTCTCTATCTCAGGCCTTTATGTGTTTCCTTCATGGCACCTATTACAGTTTTCTCCCCTCTCCCAGAAGAAAGTAAGTTCCCTGAGGGCAGAGACAATGGCTGTTTTATTCATCACTCCATACCCAGTGCCCAGTACAGATCCGAGCATGGAACAGGTGCTTTGGTTAATATTTGTTGAATGAATGAAATGTTGAAATGATGCACAGAAGGGCAACTTCTTATTTCAGATGTTAACCTAATCAACTAGATAAATGAAAATAAACCCTCAGTGTTTTTCAGGAAAGTGTAATGGCAAGATATGAAATAAGAGAATATAAATAAGAAGAATAGGACAAGTCCAGAAACATCTGAGTAGAATAGGTGGAGAACTGCAGGCAAATAGCTGAGACTGCAATGACAGGAACCATGAAACTACTGCCCAAAGACTAAGAAAACATTTTTAAGGAAGAACAGCCTGACTCTAAGAGTTAAGTTGAAGAATGTCAGGCAGAATGCCTTAATCTATGGGAGTTTATTGCAATGATTAGTGCAATTTTAGTGCTTGTTACCCACTGATTTCTTCCGCTTCCTGCCTAGTCCTTACAGTTTGTTTTTATTATGCATATTATGCATTTTTACCCACCTTCCCAGATGATTCTGACCCACAGCCCTGTTTGGGGATTATGCTCTCCTTGCAAACGTCCCAAACAGCTCGGTTTCTCTAGGTCAGTATTTTGGGTTCCTTCCTCCTTCCTCACTGTGAGTTGTGAGTTCATGTAGTCCCTGTCCTTATTTTAACTGACTCTGAACTGTAAAACCAGATCACCAATCCTGCTAACAGATGACTTTAGGTAGGCTTATATGGCTCTGAATAAAAAGTGATATTGCCTCATTCTCAGCAAACTAACACAGGAACAGAAAACCAAACACCACATGTTCTCACTCATAAGTGGGAGTTGAACAATGAGAACACATGGACACAGGGAGGGGAATATCACACACTGGGGCCTGTCAGGGGGTGGCAGGCAAGGAGAGGGATAGCATTAGGACAAATACCTAATGCATGTGGGGCTTAAAACCTAGATGATGAGTTGATAGGTGCAGCAAGCCAGCGTGGCACACGTATACCTGTGTAACAAACCTGCACGTTCTGCACATGTATCCCAGAACTTAAAGTTAAAAAAAAAAAAAAGTGATTTTGCCTATGAACTAAAAGTCTAAATTTTTGTGTCTGGATTTGACAACATCTACTTTGGCTATCCTAATTTTATTTATTTTTAATTTTTCTTCTTTCTGGGAGCTGCGCCACATTCCAAATAATAATAGCAATTAGTATTTAAAGAACTCTTTCAATGACTAAATTAATTTAATCTTTACAACCTCCCTGTCGTATAGATTATACCCATTTAACAAACAGGAAACTGACGCACTGAAAGGTTTCATAGCCATCCTAAGATCACAGCACTAATAAGTCGTAGGGACCGGGTTTAATTCCCAAGGCTGACTCAAGTCCAGGGATTCCTCACACCAGCTGAAGGATCTATGGATAAGGAAATGATGCTATTTCTAGTCATCCCTAAGCACAACATTAAAAATCCCACTGTGACTTGCCAGGAAGGTGATTAAAATAATAAAAACATAAGCTTTTAAAAAGTGTGATCATCCTCATCATCCTTCTTAGACCTCCAATGGATTTCCATTGAATTTTTGTCACCAAGTAGATTTTAAAATAACAAACAAATCCATAGATATATTTATTTTTGTTTTGATATGCAAGGTTAATGCAAGCTAGTCCAACTTTCAATAATTTCTTTTTAACAGAAAATAGTTAATATTTCAAAAATGCCTCATTTATCAGAGTATACTATCTTGGATTATTAGTTAAGTATTAAATGTTCCTTCTAAGTGTGTGCCCCTTGGGTAACATAGTGTTGTTAGGAAAACCATTATAACTCCATTCCCTGACTTGTGGGTCCTGAAATTTACTGTTGTAATTTTGCACGACTATAGTTTTTTTCATATGTGATCACACTATTTAAGACATTACTATAACAACCAGTCACTGGGGGACCAATGACAACAAGACAGGCAATCGGGTTTTCCACTGCCCCCAAGGGCTGGCATTAAACCGTGAAACTCAGCAATTGCTTATGGCAGCATTAGTAATAGCATCTGAAATTTTCAAGCCAACCATGTAGTCAGTGCTACTCAGCCCCTGAACATCATAAACTGTTATGTGCAAATTCTGAGGTAGGCAAAGATACAAATGAGAAGCTCCCACTCCTTAGGCCCATCTCCATCATGTTTTTTTGGGGGGGGTCGGGAGGAGACTAAGTTTTGCTTTTGTTGTGCAGGCTGGAGTGCAGTGGCACAATCTCGGCTCACTGCAGCCTCTGCCTCCTGGGTTCAAGCAATTCTCTAGCCTCAGCCTCCTGAGTAGCTGGGACTACAGGCGTGCACCACCACACCCAGCTAATTTTTTACTTTTAGTAGAGATGGGATTTCACCATGTTGGTCAGGCTGGTCTTGAACTCCTGACCTCGGGTGATCCACCGGCCTCAGCCTCCCAAAGTGCTGGGATTACAGGCATGAGCCACCATGCTCAGCCTCCATCATGTTTTAACTAATCTTAACTTCTCCTCCTCTTTCTCCCTACCCAGTAACCACAGCTCCAACCCCACAACATTTTGCTATATGGAATAGTGGTAGGAGGAGGTGAGAAAGAGAAAAGGGGATTAAAGGAAAAATTAACATTCAAACGAGTGTGCATCAGACACAAGTGAGCAATTAGAATCCAAGGTGTCCGGGAAAGAGGCAGAAATCACCCTACTTCATCTTCCCTCCTCTCCCCATGCCCACACCCAGTCAGGCCAGGCCCTGTGCTACAGATGGGCCTCAAGCTTTCCCACAAAACTGGGGCAAGACATGAGTACACCAAAGCATGCTACTGTGCCCAAACGAACCTTAAATACAAACCACTTCTTATTTCTTATTGTAACTATTTCTCATTATTTCTTATTATTAATACATTAATTTATTATTAATAAGACAGTTACGTATTGTAACTCTCTTATTTCTCATTGTAACTGCTAAACTACAATTTGTTAAGTTGTCAGGATCTTATTGCTTTGACTTTGGGTTGTCAGCAAAGGAAGTGCACAACCTGAAAATGTGCGAGTGACAATTTTCTCTTTGAAAGCATGCAGTGGGCACTGTCGCGTCCCCGGTGTGCCTTCCGACAGCACATGTGCAGGCTCAGTGGCTTACCGATCAAGTAATGCCAGCAAGGTCAGTCGATCGTACCAGACTTTAATCCACTTGCCAGGGAAAATGATAAATTTGTAAAACTGCTCTCGGTTAAATTTTCCTTGTGTTGAAGAACATGACGAGGCTTCCAGATCCTGACTCACATGCTTTTAGATACCAAAAGAAACAACAGAAAAAAGTGTTTCATGTTGTCATGCCATGGCCACAAATATATATATACACCATAATTTAAAAATACAAAAAGCAGATGTTCAAATTCCGAAATATAAACCAACATATTTCAGTTAAAATAAATAAGAAAAGGATAATGATCAACAAAAAGGGTTTTTCTTACCAACACACTTCAATTCCTTTACAATGTACCATTAAAATTATGCTATTCATCACATCAAAATGCTGCTGCTCATTAAGGCCAAGAAACTGCTATAAAAATAGTTCTTACGAAAAGTAGGAATTCAATAAAAGATCTTAAATGACTTCACTTCTGAAAAGTGTGTTAATGTTGAGATACATATTCAAATTTTACTAAGAGCAAAAAGATTTTCATTGGGACTATCTAGGCTATTGGTGAAGCCCGCTATAAGAAAAACTGAACTATTTATTGAAAAAATCTAAATCATTCAAACTAAAATGTGGGGAAATTTAGACCCAGATATTAAAAGTTTTAACCCCTAATTCATCTCTGATTAGCTCTAATTCAGTGGAAAAGAATTCACTTTAAAAAAAAAATTAGTCTTCATTGATTTGTCTATCAACTACTTACTGAGGGACTCTTAGGAGCCTGGAACAAGGTTGGGAACAGGCAGTTTTCCATGCAGTCCCCCTAGTGAAGATGTTGGTAATAGAATGTGCTTAGTTAATCCTAACAGTGAGGTCCCAGATGAAGTGGGGAGCCTCCTATTGGACATCCCACCTGTGTTTTGTCTCCTGTTCTCGTGTACAGAAACTGTTAAAACCAAAGCTCCCATGCAGCTCCTCCTTCACTGTTTGACCATTTGCTTGTCACTTCTTGCTACCATCCTTCAGCCTTCTCTAGACACCCCAGCCCCCTTCAGAGCTTCTATTTCTAACCTCTATATATCTTTAACTGTGGTTGAAAAACAAATATCATAAAATTTACCACCATAACCGTTTAAAGTTTAAAGTTCAATAGCGCTAACAATATTCACATTGTTGTGCAACAGATCTCTGGAATCTTTTCATCCTGCAAAACTGAAACCCTGTATCTATTTAGCAACTCCCCATTTACCTTCCCCCCAGCCTCTGGTAACCACCATTCTCCTTTCTGTCCCTATGAATGTGACTACTTTAGGTGATTCATGTAAATGAGATCATATAGTAGTTGAACCTTTTTGTGACGGGCTTATTTCACTCGGCACAGTGTCCTCAAGCTTCATCCACGTTGTAGCATGTGTCAGAATTCCCTTTCTTTTTAAGGCTGAATAATACTTCTTGTATGTATGTATCATGTTTTGTTTGTCCACTAATCTGTCAATGGATATTGAAGTTGCTTCCACCCTTTGGCTATTGTGAATAGTGCTGCTAGGAGCACAAGTGTGCAAATATCTCTTCCAGCTCCTGCTTTCAATTCTTTTGGATATACACTCAGAAATAGAATTGCTGGATTATTCTAATCTGTATTTTTGTTTGGTTTTGCCTTGCATTTTTCCAACATGGATTTAAGGTTCTGATTTCCCGTAGGCCGACAAACATAAGACACAGGAGATTAAAAAGGGCAAAGACAAGAAAGGGATGAGTATGGGACAAAGAGCAGTGGCAGCGGCGCAGGTGACATCGGCTTTTAAAGGACTCCTACATTTCCCTTTGGCTTACAAAGCACAAGGTTATACATGGGCAGACTGCACAAGTTTTCTCCTAATTTAGGGGAAGTCACTGATGTCAAAGTGCCTGGCATGCATGGAGGCAGTGCAGCTGCTTCATTAGAGGCCACTGCAGAACTCTCCAAGAAAGCAAATTTTACCATCTCTCCATTTCCAGATGCTAATCTGCTTACTCAGCCTATGGAAAATGGAGTCATTCCGGATATCAAATATTAATGCAAAAGGCATCCACAGGGAAAGCTGATCCATCATGAAGGCGATATACAGGATGAGTTGGACTGAATCATAACAGGAAAGTTGAGATTGTAAGTGCTGCTTGTGCCTGGAATTCTATTTCAACACAGAAGAGAGCTTTGTGGAAACTGCCTGGTGTCATCTCAGCAGGAATAGCTTCTTTGCATGATGATGAACTTGTGGTTTATAGTAAACCTCCCCCCACAAAGGAGTCCTTTTCCTTGAAGCCACATGGACAAAGAGTGTAAGTAAGAATTAGGTGCACAGGAGCCCATGGTTTACTGTCCTTGTTATGTAAGAATCCATGTATGATGCATAAACAGGTCAAGGGTAAGCAACAGCTAAGATGAGAGCATTCCTTCCAATAGGAAGAAAAATGCCTTCTTAAAGTGGGGTTTCATTTGATATGCTTAGCTGTTAGGAAAGGTCAGTATGTAAAAAATTACATGAAGACTATGCCTGCATCTTTTTTAAAACTTATTAAAGATTCCAGCATACTGTGCTATTTATTGCTGCTTAAATGAAAGTCCTTGCTTAAAAAAAAATCCTCAAAAATTAATGAAAAAAAAAAAAGATTTGACTTCTTTTATGGGAAAAAAAGGTTCATAAAATTTTATTTTTTACCTTCGATATCCAAGAAGCCCAGAGCTACATGTTTTGGTGAATAACAGCAATTATTCTTGGACTATTTTCTGGTACCAAATTCAAATTCAAATTCAATTTCTCATCATTTTAATATCATTCATGTTTTCACTCATCGAACAAAATAGTTACTGTGTAGATTATATAAACCAAATGCTATATGTAATATATGTTGAAAATTGAAAACATAACAAGAGAGAGTTTCCACCTTACAGGAGTTTGGAAATTTCTGGGAATAGGCGAGCAAACCAGTCATGATAACATCATCACACATGCATAAACGCATCTACATCTGTGTCTATCTCTGGAGAGAGAAGTGAGTCACCAGAGAGTGTAGGACTGACATCCCAGAAGAGGGCATGGAGTAAAGGGGTCTTGGGCATTCCCTGGAGTGCATCAACAATTAAGGGGCTCGCATAATTGCGGACCCTCAGTGGAGTCTGAGAAGGAGCTTCATATTCATCACTTTTATCTTTCACTGTAAGTGATCTAAATAATGAAAAAAAAATGAATGCGTGGACAAACTGACAAAAAAAGACGTTTATGTCTCTGATTCATTAAACCTTGCCAAAGAATGACTATGTTGCATTGCCCAGTAAGTTGGGCCTGCAAGTTTAATTCTATGATTCTGAGAAAGAGTTTAGGAAAGGGGAGGACAAAGGAAAGGATAAAAGTTGAACTTAGGTTCTTTTTAAAAAACAAGATAATTGCATTTACATACACTCCTCATATGGATTAGGGTTTATATCATAATATCCAATGTTCATTTAATGAATTTGAATTATCAAGAACAACTTACATTATTGTCAGTATATTCTTCTTAAGAAGGCAGGGAAGGACAGTGTACCTTTTAGAAATATTTTGGGTGGAATTTTTGAAATCTAAGTATAAAAGACTATGCCTCCTGAGATACCTGAGAAATTCTACTGCTCAAATAATGCTACTTTCAAGAGTTCCAGATAACAAACAAGATTTTTTGATGATATTAGTAACTGCCACCAACTAGTAAAGTCATAATTTTGCCATATATTATCTCTAATCCTTAAAAGATCACAATAGTTCAGTTTCCTAAAAGAAACTGAGGCTCTGAGAGATTAGGCCACTGGTCCAAGGTCCCAGATTAGGAAGAGATTTGCTGGAAGCCAAAGTCTGGGCTCTTTCTACAATCGTGCTTAAGGGGGCCCAGGTGAATCGACACATCAAGCAGTGCTCATCAGTAAAGAGAAAGCCACCTTCACAGCAAAACAAATAGAGTTCAAGAGACAATACATATAGTCTAATTGTGAAAGAACAAGTTAACAACACAAATTTGAAAATGGAAACTGGCAAAAATAAGATGGGGAATAATGGATTACAAATAATATGTTATTTAAAACAAACAAAGTCAGGTTTGTGATTTTGAGAATGAACCATATCTAATAAAAACTAAAATAGATATTATACCCTGTTATGTGAAAGAGAGTAAGTGATCAGCTCTACAGAACCTCCCCAAAGTCTGAACAGGCATAAATGGATTTAAATTATTGGCCTCTTTTTTGTGGGGGGATATCGAAAATTAAATTAGAGGTTCTCCAGTTCTCAGAAGGTATCTGTAGATTTTACCTGAAAGGGCAGGGAAAAGGGAGAAGGAGTAGAGGAGAGAACAGTAGACAGAAGAAAAGTGGTCCTTTGGGAAACTATGTGTAACTCCTAACAGCTATCAAGCTCAGCACTGGGAAGGAAGGGTTGGTAGGGACTCTGTTTGGTGTCAGAAGTGGGATTGTGAGAAATCACAGCAGTGGCTGCCAAGGGGGATGTGAGCACTGGAGGCCCTAATAGTGACAAAAGGGCAACTAGGAAGGAACACTGGATCAGGGTCCCTTCGATGCCCCAAGTTCCAGTACTCTCTGCACTGCAGTTTCCTTAGATATTCAACCCCCAGATGAAATAATGCCTACCCTGAAGACTTCTCTTAAAGATAAAATGACATCAAATATGACAGCACCTAGCCCAGTGCCATACACATAACTTGTGTTCAAAACATACAAGTGGAATGTGAATTATATCTGGATGTGAACAAAACTTTGAGGGATGAAACATATTTTTTTTGAAAGTAGAATGATACTATTATAACAGTGGCTATGTTTAGCAGCCAGAATTCATAGCAAACCATGTAGATTCTAAACCTATTACAGATAGCCTCTGACTTACAATGATTCAACTTATGATTTTTGAACTTTACAATGCTGTGAAAGGGATAAGTATTCAGTAGAACATCAGTAAGTGATATGAGATAGTCAATACTTTATTACAAAATAGGCTTTGTATTTGATGATTTTGCCCAACTGTTGGCTAATGTAAGTGTTCTGAGCATGTTTAAGGCAGGCCAGGGTAAGCTATGATATTCAGTAGGTTAGATGTATTAAATGCATTTTCAACTTATGATATTTTCAATTTATGATGGATTTATAGGGACCTAAACCCATTCTAAGTTGAGGAGCATCCGAATTTAAATGAACTTCTGAACACGATAAATGAAAAAGATGCAAATGTTACTTTTTCTTTTTAAAGTATTAATATACTTTTAAATAAATGAATATATGATGAAAAATAAATGTTACGATATTATAATTGATGTCTCATCTCTTTCATCTCTATAATTATCTCAACTGTTTCATCTTTTAGTAAATGCCAATATTCTTATAAGTTCTTGTTAATGTTTTAATGATAGTAAATTGTGATGTAAATGCTGCCTTTATATTTACCTAGAATAACAGTCAGCCAGGCCTAGTACTGTGCTCATCTTTGCAATTCTCACCAGTTCTCATCAGTTAGGACCAATTAAATGCTTGACCATCAAATATCCATAAGATAATAATAATAATGCCACTATCATAGACTTGCACAGAGCTTTAGCGTTTACGAAACACTTTTACATACAATACTATCTCATTTTTTAATGTAAGACAAGCTGAATGAGTTGGAGACTATATCCGGTTAAAAGTAAATGGAAGCAGAAAATGCTGTATTCCGACAGATCCTATGCTGCCCTTGGGGAGACTGCACCTGCCTCTCAACCAGCAGTGTAATAAACAAAATGTTTCCAGGTGATTACTCAGGTACTGACCCATAACATATTGGGACAATGTAAGATTTTAAAAACCATGGTAATGAGTCTACAGAATATACTCTGTGGGGTTAGAAGCACATGATGGATAAACTTAGTGACAGAGAAGTACAAGTTTATAATATGGATTCATGCAACATTTTTAATTGGTAATATTCAAAACCCCTGAATGCCAATCTTGAGTTCAAACAACAGGTTTTCACCAATTCCAACCATATACATATATATATATATATGGTTGGAATACATATATATATATATATATATATGTGTATATATATATATATATGTATATGGTTGGAATACACACACACACACACACACACACACACACACATATATATAAAGTGACCAGCCCTTCATAAAAGTGGCAGCCCTTCCTGGGAGCCCCCCTTTCAGGGACACTTCATTCTCCACACACATACTGTATTTGTGCCAGGGAGGAATTTCAGAAAAGTCTTTCTCTGGCCTTGGCTCACCTCCTGACCACCCGCCCATCAGAGCCTGCAGAATTCCGTCCTCTGCTAGAAAGAGCTTGCGGAAAGTTGCGGGGAAAGCACTCCCAGAGCTCATGTGCTGCACTTGAAGGAGAGAGGCAGGGAGGATGGGGGAAGGAAGGGATTAAAGTCTTGTCTTCAGAGTCTTATCTCCTGCTTATTTTTGCTAGTCTCCTTCTGAGAAATAGCTCCCCTGTGCCTCCAGGCTCCAGGAACACTGAGCATACCTGCTTTCAGCCTCACCTCCAGGCCCCATTGGCCAGGTCTTTTCTCTGTCTAGATACTCTTATCTCCTTTTATTTGGTTAACTTCAACTCATCCTCCACATTTCAGCGGAAGTGTCACCTTGCTGAGGAAGCCTCTCTGATCCCCTGTTTCCTGGCCTGGAGCTTCTGCTGTGTCCCACACCACTAGAGCCTATTCTAATCAGAATTCCTGTTGTATAGAGTTGAATTGGTTGACTGGCTGTTAAACTTATTGTAGGCAGGGACTGAGTTTTTTCACCATTGTATACCAAGCTTCTAGCACAGGACTGTAGGCATAGCCAGCCTACAGCAAATATTTGTTGGATAATGAGTAGAAAACCTATTTAATTTTTATTTTGTGGCTGAAATCTAATTTAATTTCCTGGTGATATCAATTATATTTAGAAATCAAATAGTAGAACTACATTTTTTTCCCAGTATGAGACTTTGTAAATATTTTCTTAGGGTCTAAACATGAGCTTGGTTAGCAATCTTCATTTTTCCTCTTCCATACCCATATACAATAGAATATAGAACTTTAAAAATGTTTACTTAAAGTAAGTTTAAATTGTTGAAGCAATGAATTTGGTTAAGTGTCTAGCAATAAAACACTACAGATGAGTTGAGTTTTTATGCATCATCAGGCCATTTACAGAATTACAAATGTAAAATAAGGAATGGCAGGACTGTTTCTGATTTATTCTTTGAGTATTTACTTATTTTCAAGTTTCTGCTCTAACTGGGATATTTTTGAGATACTAAATCAATAGATGTATACCTTTGATAATCTAAAGTTTCTAGTTTCCTCTAGTTCTGCTACTCATGAAATCAATGGCATTCATATCTTTCCAAGCTCTCCTGATACTTTCATGGAACCTTCTTGAAGGTTCAACACTAATGTTCTGGAGGGTAGTAGGGAGTTAGCGCTTCCCCGGGCCTATCACGGGGAAAATGCAAGTTTCTCAGGAAAGCCTACGTTCCACAGGGCCCCCACATACTAGGGCTGGGGTGAGAACTATGTTCTGGCAGTTGGGGGTGGAGCTGGGCAGAGCTCACAGACCTCATACAGGCTGACAGTGTGTGCAGAACACAGCTAGGGCAAATGGCAGGGTCTCCGGTGGTCAGTGAGTGGCAGATCCAACACCTCACCCAAACCAGGCAGGTACAACACACAGTACACCCGGTGACTGGGCTGAGGGGATGCTCCCCTCCCCGGAAGGGCCCCTCCCAGGTCCACTTCCAACCACAGGTTTAGGAATCCTATCCCTTACACACAGAGGCCCTGGAAAGGAGGAGAAGGAGAGCCTGAATACATGAAAGGGAAGAGAATAAACAGTCCCAAAAGGCTGCTTCTTTGAATAAATTAAACACTTGTTCACACAGAAACTCCAAGCCTGAAAGGGCTGAGTTACCCTAATTAGCACTTTTTTTGTTTGAGAGAGGATCTCACTCAGAGTGCAGTGGTGCAGTCATAGCTCACTGCAGCCTTGAACTCCTGGGCTCAAACCGTCCCCCTACTTCAGCCTCCCAAAGTGTTGGAATTACAGGCGTGAGCCACTGTGTCTGGCAATTAGCACTTTTAAGTTAAGTCGTCCCTACACTCCCCACATCAACAGGAATAAGAACTCAGGGCAATATGTGGTCAGCTAAAAGGTAACTCAACATTTTCTTTGCACAGCTGAGTAATGGTGTATAAATTTCAACCCATTGTATTTTGTGTGTGTGTGTGTGTTTGTTGGAGACAGAATCTCGCTCTGTTGCCCAGGTTGGAATGCAGTAGCACGACCTTGGCTGATTGCAACCTCTGCCTCCGGGGTTCAAGCGATTCTCGCGCTTCAGCCTCCCAAATAGCTGGGACTACAGGCATGTGCCACCATGCCAGGCTAATGTTTGTATTTTTAGTAGAGATGGGGTTTTGCCATGTTGGCCAGGCTGGTCTTGAACTCCTGACCTCAAGTGATCCATCCACCTTGGCCTCCCAAAGTGCTGGGATTACAGGCGTGAGTCACTGCAGCCAGCCACATTGTATTGTTGAGCATCCTTTGGAAAAATGTGGCTAAGCAATCAAAAACATATATATATATATATTATTTTTTCAAAGATGAGCTTTTCTAGAATGAACTGAAACATTTCCAGGAAAAAGGTAAACAGAAATAAAGAAACTTGACACTCACATGACATCACCCCATCTACAATCCTCTTCTCTCAATATGTACCAATGGAAACCAATCTTTCTTCAAGGCCTAACCCAAGTATTTCTTCTTCTAAGAAGCCGTCCCCATTTCCCCTCCAAAATGCCCAAAATTGAATCTGCAGCTCTAACTTCATGTCTGGGTGTTTCACTAATCTCCCATGTTATCTCTGGCTTTTAATCCTTGGCTCTGCCTCCCAAGAGTCTTATTAAAAGTTGACTGGATAAATGAATGAACATTAATAAGTTATCTCTTAGTAACATAATGAAAGGCTTCACATTTTTAGACCTCTTGAGGATAATGTCACTTGCCCCAAGAATAAAGTCTCCCTTTAAGTCAAATATTTAAGAATCTTTGAATATTAAATATACAAGGCAATAATACATTATTTTTTTTAAAAAAACAGATACTTTGCAAACCATGGGCGAAAAAGGTAACCTAATCCAGTGAGCTCCTGTGAGACTTACGCATCCCGGCAACCAAAGATCAATGTGCATGAATTTCTAATGCATTTGAAAAGCAACTGAGACAGTGGCAATCCTGTTAATATCAACCCAAGGTTAGCTGCTATCTCTCTGATTTCTTTTCACATTCAGTCAGTAGACTGCCTTGTAGTGATATATCAACAACCCAGTGATGCAAAATTCAGGGAAAGAGCTGACTAATCCTGTCAGGTAATCCAACCTGGAAAAAGGTTTTAAGATCCCCTGTTTCTAGAACATCCACAAACAGCAATTCTGGCATGTACGTACCCGTGGAGTTTCTGACTGGGTCCTGCGAGCCACCATCAGTAACAGCTGTTGCTGAAGGGCACTGACAGCAGGGTCCCCAGAAGACGGATCTTGACTCTCAGAAGTTGTGGTACTGGAGGAGCTGACCTGCATCTCTCTGAGGGTGGGCAAAACAAAAGCTTTGGTTACCTGGCGATACCACAAGTCATCTATTTATTATACACAAACACAAGAACAATAGGAATGCCCAAAGCAGGTATTGGATGAGTCTTCACAACCTTACATAAAGAGTTAAGAGTTTAAAATTATGTATACAAGGCTACCTTCAGGGAGAAGGTCAATTACCCTGCATACATTGAAATTACTCAGGCTGCCCAGGGTTGTAGTGTGTCATAGGGCAGGTGGGTAGATGCCTGGTGTTCTACAGACGACAACCTTAAATTTGTTACATATTTAATGGGTGGGGAGGCCTTAGTAACAAGTTCTAGCCTCACATTTTGTAAAAACAAATAGTGGGCTTGATAATTCTCCAGACACCAACCAGGAAGAAACAGAGACTAACACCTCTACTACCTGACTGCATCTCCTCTCCACCACAGCCCAAAGCACGGTAAGTACATATTAGACAAAAGAAATGTCTTGGGTAATTGATCAAGAGGACATTATGGAATTAGTTGTGATCTGTATATAAAATAGTTTTATTATCTTTAATCACACACAGATTGGCAAGACTTAAATTAACAGTACGCAGTCTCAATCCTGGCATTTTTTTCCTTTGGCTCAGAAAGCAAAAACTAGGACATACTTCTCTATCTGATTTCCTAGCAGGGTACCTATAACTTTTAGGACACAATGGTGCTGCCTACTCAACAGGCATTTCTCATAGAATGTCTGCTAACATAACTCCATCTTATTAAGTCATCCAAGACTGTGTGCTTTGGAAGAGGCATGAGGTCCTTCCCTAGCCCTAGGGAAAAATCCTGGTCTCTAAGCCATTCACTCTGGCCAGAGCTTGGCTTTGGAATGAGAAAGAAACACAATTCTAAGAGGTCAATGAAGGGCAAAGAAGAGTTGGCTGGGAATAAGACAGCTCTTGGACAAAATTTTCTATAGTTCTTAAGTAGTAACAAAAGTAAAAGACAGTCTTTCTCCAGGCCTTTGCATGATTCATGAATAATAAATACTGCCATCGTGAAGGAAAAACTTGAGGACTGGAGAGCTGAGTGATGGAAGGGAACTAGTTTTTTGATGACAGCATTAAACCTCTGAATTCACCAACCTTGAACAGACCGCATCTTTGGGCTTCTTGTGTTCTGACATAATACATCTCATCGTGCAGCCCATTTTGTTACATAAGGTTACTTGTAGCCCAAATCACACCGTCTAATATAGGCTCCTTAAGAATGCAGATGCTACAGTAACATAATTCCCTTCTGATTTATAATCTACACCTTTCATGATAAAGTTTCTGCAATCTTTTCAATCTTTCTTTTTCCTAACTCCTTCCTATCATACTCATAAGCATACCAATAGTTATTCTGTGTGAATGGTGTTCAAAATACTGTCATACAGCTGGGTGCAGTGGCTCATTCCTGTAATCCCAACACTTTGAGAGGCTGAGGAGGGAGGATTGCTTGAGCCCAGGAGTTCAAGACCAGCCCTGGCAACATAGTGAGACCTAATCTCTACAAAAATAGAAAAAAATTAGCTGGGCGTGGTTGCACATGCCTATAGTCCCAGCTACTTGGGAGGCTGAGGTGGGACACCACTTGAGCCTGGGAGGTCTAGGCTGCAGTGAGTCATGATCACGCCACTGCACTCCAGCCTGTGTGAACAGAGTAAGATCTTATCTCAAAAAAAAAAAAAAAAAAAAGCAACTTTCATATACACATGTAAATAAACAAAAACTTCAATACATTCAATAAAGTCTTCCTATAAAGAACCACTTAGGAAACATAACATGATAAGGTTAGGGTTTAGGAAATGAACCGGGTAGAGTAAGTACGTGGAGTTTGAAAACTTAAAAAATCCTATGCTTCCATTATTTAATGCTTGCTCCTAAAACAGTGCTTTTCCTTCTTGTCTATGTTAGTGGTATAATCTCCATCACTAACAGAGAAAAAGATTAGTTAGATTTATAAAAACAATGTTAATTCAAACTCTTCTGCGTTGTACAGAAGCCGCTGAGTAACGTAACTCTGTCATTTCACATCGAAATACAATAGAACTGAAAATTCATTGTTGACACAAATTCAGAGATATCTTAAATGGAGCACATGCCAGAACTTCACTAAAACCAAAAGATTAAGCTAACTACATTGTAGGTAAGGTAGGTAATGATCGTAAATAGGCAAGAGTGGGAAAAGAAATGTATGCTTCTGTGAAAAATGTAGAAGGTGTACAGCACCCTCTATTGCTAACTGAAATAAACTAAGAATTGACTACGACATCATGTGTAACGAACGGCTGTTTTAGAGCAGTCTTCCTCCTACTAAGGCGTCCTGCTAGGATACATGATACAAAAGGAAGTGTCAATCAATAGACATCAGCTTAATTTTTTCATATTTCTTAGTACATTTCTGATTGTAAAATAATAATAATAAACATCATTTTCCTATGTAAGCCATTTAAATATCCTTTAAAAAATCTATGGGTTGATTTTCTATTTAAAATCTTTTGGGTCAGTTCTAGAATTAAACAGAACTAGGTTAAAGTATTTCTCTACTACTTACTATCTGTGACTATAAGCATGTTGTCTTCCTACCTCGAATCCTCCCTATAAAATCAGGAAGATATTTTCCTCATAGGGATCATTGTGAAAACTAAACCAGACTATGTACATAAAGCAGTGAACATTGCCTTTCATATATTAGGCACTTCATAACCATCCCTGACCCTTTTTACTCTTTTCTGTTGATATAGGACTTGACTTTGCTTATTCTTATATTAAATAGTAACATAACTCCTATGCTTTTACACAAATACTATATTAATTTCAGGTGTCTCTGTTAGCAGGCATGGGGGAAGAGTATTTTGCTCTCAACTCACACCTAATTCTCCTTATTTTATAAAGACAGTCTCAAACAGCATATTAACTTCCCTCTTAATTAACCTCTTTTATAAGGTTTGAGTATTCTAGACAAGGCATGAGCATATTAAGAAAGATTCTCTTCTGAGCTTCATGACTGGTATATGTCTGCATCAGAAACCTGTACTGTCATCTGTATTGTCACGTGTATGTGGGCTCCCCATTTGGCCAGGAGGAAATGGTTACATGCTTACAGTAAGCATTGCTCAAATGGAGATGTTTCCCTATGTGATATAATTCTCTGATGTCCTGATAGTGTAGTTATAATCCATGTGCACCAGCCTGCCCACCCAAGCACCAAAGAGATGACGATGCCCACAAAAATCACTGACATGGACAGGTGGACAGGAGTGCAATCTCTGAATAATTCCAAAGTCTATGTTCTTTGCTTGTGTCTCTTCTCCGAGTATTTGCTGGTTATTCTCTCGCATCTTTTGAAGTTATAGACTGTAAGCATCATAATCATCTAGAAACACAATGTCTAAGTAACTTAAAGCCAAAGATTTTCCCACGAAAGCGTTAAGTTTCAAGAGGCATTTTCTCTTCCTCCAAAACAATAATGGCAATGGAAATATCCCAAGCCTATAGTAACTATTCTGTGAACTGCAATACACGATACTTAGCACATCTGGTCTCAATTATCCCATTCTCTGGTGAATCTTTGGTAAACTAGTTTGGTTCAGGGCTATAGCAGAGATAAGTTTATTTAAGTTAGATTGAGCTCCAAGCAATAGCAGAAATAGTGACTAATGGTGGAAACTTTTAAAAGTGCTGCCACTAGAAAGTAATAAAGATGGGCCTGGGGCTAGAATCTAGCCTGGGCCAGAAGAGTGCACTCCTATATGGAAACAGTTGGGTCTCAAATTGACCATGACGATATTCCACCACACTGAACTCCCCAGATTTTCACCATCTGAGTTTCTACAAGTAACAGACAGTCAAAATACATGTGCTTCTTCTACACCGTCTCACTGATGTTGGAAAAACATTTCCTGAAATTCTTCACCTTCCCCAGAGTTTAAAGACGACAGCCCACCACTCTCAGGTAGGGGGCCTCCCTTTTTCTGCCTCTTCCCTTGTTTTTCAGGCTTCCTCCGGGGACATGGGCACGAGGCCCACAGAGGGACACAGACATGAAAGTCGCAGCAACATATTCAGTATGTAGGATGTTTAACTAAAGCAGCACTGTTCTGCAAACCATAACCTGTTATTTTGAATTGTTTTACAGTCGGCAAAAAACTCTTCTCTTATGTTACAGCAAAATTTGTGTGAGTATCAGAGAAAAAGGCAGCGACACCGTGGAAGTGAGGCAAGGTCGGGAGCATGGGACCTGACTGCCATCATGTGGCGGCAGTGGCTGTGGCCACCCGAAGAGATCCACACTGAGTGGCAGGGCCAATTTTCAGGCTTTCAGAGAAGATGCCCCAGAGAACAAAATCTTTCTAGAATCAACCTCACAAACCTTTTGTCCTTATGACTCTATGCCTGGGTGAAAGTACAATCTCTTTCTAACATGTCTAAGAAAACAAGATAAGAATGACAGCGAAAGGAGCAAAGAGTAAAGAGTGAACGCCAAAAAGAGAGGACATGGAAATTTGGGAGGGCAGACACTATTCCAAGGCAGACCCAGGTGATCATCTACCTCTTGCCAATCTTTTTCACCTCCATGTGATCAAAGGCACCAAGAAACTGCAAAAGTTTTTCAAATTTGAGGCAGCAAATATCTATCTCTCTACTACCCAAATTAAGTGAGTGAGGCAGCTATATGCACACCTCAAATATTTGTAATAAAAGATGAAATTTCCAAACTATCATTGAATGGCACATGGTACTGGGTATATCTAATACTGAGAGAAGTTACAACGTTTTACTCTTCATTTTGAATATCTAGTTGACTTGTTTCGTTGCCCCACATTCCTGCTCAGCTACTCCAAACCAGAGTGTCACTATTATTTATTCTGACTAAAGTTAAAAACCCAGTCTAAACAGACACGATTACTTCTTGCTGCTTTCTGCCTGCTTATCTTCTCTGGGAACCAGGTAGATAATTAAACATTGTGGCTTTAGAG